GAATATTTTTCGAATACAAATACGAATTAGAGTGTATTCGATTCGAATAGTATTCGAATATTTTATGTTATTTAAATATAAATTTTTATTACATTTTATCTTAATTTATTAGTAAATTTTGTAAAAAATTAAATTAGGCATTTCGAATTCGAATATTTGAGTCGAATCGAATATATTCGAATAAACTGATCGAATCGAATACGAATCAAATTTTAGATTCGAATATTAAACGAATACGAATACGAATATTTGAATATATAGTCGAATTCGAATCGAATACTGAGATATTTGACTCGATTCGATTGGTTTACACCTATAGAAAAATTACAAATTGTATGAAAGTGATAAAAAAAAAGTGTAAATTGCAAAAAAAAGGAAAAGAAAAAGCAAAAGAAAAAAAAAAAAAAAAAAAAAGAAGACGAGAAGAAAAACAAGTTTACTAATTAATCTGGGAGAACTTGACCTTTGGCCCCACGCGAAATCTATTAGGGGTCGTTTGGTTCACGGAATGTCAGATTACCTTAGGGAATGTTAGATTGTTGGGAATGTTAGATTACTGGGAATGTTAGATTCCTGTGTTTGGTTAAAATTGAGGTATGTAATATAATCATGTTTGGTTTAGGTTATCTTTTATACACACTATAATATCCTTAACATATTTTCATATATTTTAATAAATTTAAAAATTAAAATAAATAAATAAGATAACGGTATCATATATAATTACATGATTTTAAAATATTAACTAAAATCTTGAACTTGAAAAACAAAATTATTTTATATGCTAACATAACATAATAAAAATAAAATATATATATATATATATATATATATATATATATATATAATTACAAAAATAATTATATATATATATAATAATAATAATAATAATAATAATAATAATAATAATAATAAAAAACTAACATAACCAAGGTTATCTTACATTACCTAAGATTTTGAAGGGAATCACATTCCCTTCAAAATCCTATGTGGAGGGAATGTGACATTCCTTGGGAATGTTAGATTCCTTAAGATAATATGAACCAAACACCGGAATGTGAACTTTGGAATGTCACATTCCCTTGGTTATGTTATATAACCTGAACCAAACGCCCCCTTATTGTTGTCCTCCAGATTCCATAATATGCCCAAACGGAAACCCAACAACGCAGGCGGCTTACGCCACCACCAATACCAAATTGTATTTTTCCCCTAACCCCAAATTGACATTCCTCCTCTTGATTTTGGATCCGACCCGGTCTGAGAGCTTAAGTTCCAACCTCCGAACCCTAGCCATGGGGTATTCCAATTCACCAATCGTATAAGAAGCACAGAGGTCTAGTTGACTTTAAACCATTCGCCGCTTGTTTGTCCCGTCCTCGTCGCGTGCATAGGTGATTAGGTAGTTGTGGATTGCTTGGGCATGGAGGGGACGGGTGTCGGTGCGGATGAGAAGACGATCCGGGTTGTGAGAGCCAATTCGGGGACGGATCGTCTTCGGGTGAAGCGACAGACCTTGGAGACGGTGCTCCAGCAGTGCCAGAGAGCTCTTGAGCTCATTAATTCTGTAGGGGGTACTGAGGAAGACGACGACGATGTTGGAGATGCTGGGAGAGATGTTGTGGAGGAGAACGATGAGACCTCATCCACGCCGTCTCCTGATGCTGAGACGGAGGAGGTGATAGATTTTATTGTTTTTTTGTTTTTGGATTTTAGGTTTTCTGATTCATTTTTTTTGGGAACTTGAGGTGCTTGGTTAGCTGGGAACTTGATGAACTGCAGTTTTTTTTTTTTTTTTTTTTTTTTTTTTTTAGTTAGTGATGAACTTGAGGTTCATGCTGGGTTTTTCTTAGGGTTATAATAGTCCTAGATTGGCACTTGGATCATGCACTTAGACTTTTCAGTTGATACATTCAGAAAGAAAACAAGTTATACTTGCATCAGAGAATTTCTTATGCTCTTTTGATGGCCCTATCTCGATTAACCTCATAGTTTTATCATACTTGTATTAATGCATTAACATGGCCTTTTCAGTTGCATAGTACATCTATCCTAAGGTCTTGTATTATACAGCAATTGCCAATTGCTATAAAGCCTTTTGACTTCTTGTTTGCCTATCACAGTTTTTAATTTACACTTTTGATATACTGATTTATGTAGAAAAAGTCTCCTTCACATTCTGCAACTGTATCTACTTGTGCAATTTAGCTTGCTTAATTGGTTTCTGTATGAAAATGTCTTCAGATGAGAAATCATTTTTGTTTTTTGGTATTCTTAAGAATTATCTTGCTTCTTTTTTGATGAGTTCTGTTATTTATTTTGAACAGTTATGTGATCTCTTGAAATCTAGAGTTGATAGCCCAGATTTCCTTCAAAAGCTAGAAAATGCCCAAGCATCAGTTCCACAAAGCATTGCTGGTATGCTCACAAAGACTAGTCAGTAGGAGAACTTTCTCCCATCGTCTTTAGAATTACTCCAATTTTTTTTTATTTTATACATTGATTTTTGGGGGGTGTCAAGGGAAAAACTTTTTTTTTGCAACTTGTGCTGTTAATGTGTAAATCTCTGTCAATAGTCTGGGGGCAAAATATTCTTGCTGTCAACCAAATGTATAGCTTATTAAATTCTTGCATAATATAGAAGAATGCAGTTCATGGGACATGGTCAATGACAGTGATCTGTGGGAAAGTGGAGATCCTGAATTGGACAATGACGATTATGTTTTAGTTCGGCAAGAAGACATAGTGGATGGTATAGCATGTTTCATGGCTGCATATCTGTTGTCTCTTAAACAGACTAAGGTAGGCAGTGCCTTCTTTTTATTGCTGAAGAAAAAAATTAATTTAATTGACAAGTCATGAACAAAGGTGAGGTTGCATACATCTTCTTTCCTTGGAGCCTTATGCACTTGTGTCCATAGAGCATAATAGAGAATTTCTTGCTTATACTAGCAAAGAAAATACTGTCAGTAGTCTTTTTGGATATGTCTCTCTGGTCAGTTAGTCTCAGTTATGTACCTTACTTTTTGCAGGATCTGACACCAAACCAATTGCAGGATGGTTAGTTTTTACTGTTTCCTTTCTTAATTTTTTCTGGAGAATAGTTGTACAAATAAATTTATGGTGTACATGAGATGGGGAGCAGAAATCTCAAGGCTGAATTTTCTTACAGCCCTCAGCAAGACATTCTCTGTAAAAAAGAAGAAAGGAAAGCTTCGGAAGGCATGGGATGGAAGCAAAATAATTTATAATGTAGCATCTTGGGGGGCAACAGCAGTTGGGTAAGCAAATTTAATGTATTCCCTGGTATCTATTTCTTCTTTCTCGTGTCCTGAGGGGGTAAAATCTTTGTTTTTGGCTCATACTTGTCACTTGTAGAGTTCCATCATGCTCTGTGATTTGATGCTTACACACTAGCATTTGAACTGAGAAAGTTCTGCCAATGTGAATCGAATAGAATGTGGAAAATTATTGGTTAAACTTGTTTACCTGGCCTGAGTAGGACTTTACTCCCGGCATGTTTGCTATACACCTACCTTAGTGATTTAGAGACAATTTCAACAATTGATTGCAACTATGATCTAGGAACATTGGGAGGACATTTTCGTGAGCATAGCTGTGCTATGAGTCTACAAGTCCCAAAATTCTGTAACTATCCTAAATAGCATAGAGGATATGCACGTGTTAAAGTCATTGTTGATCTTTGATAACGAATTATGTTCTCGTGTTGAACCGCTCTATTATTTAAATTTATTTTATTGAATTGAGGGATATTTCTACATCTCAACTAATGAAGCTCTTTGACTGATGTAATGTTGTTGTGGATATGGCTTGACCAGGATATACCAAAACCCGGCCATTCTTAGAGCTGCCTCGGCAGCCTTCTGGACATCCTGCCACGTTATATCAAAGCTGTTCTGAGCAGCACATGTAAATAGGTGGAAGAAGTTTGATTCTCAGAATGATGTAGTGGTCAGACTGCCGTAGTAGCCTTAAACGTTCATCTACTATCTGTAACATAAGTACCATTCTTTCGTGCAAATTTGATCAATGTCTCCTGTCAATTAGTCCTGTAAATATGTGATGCCTTCAATTGAAATGCCCTTTGTGTGTAAAACTTGTTTGCCTCATTATTTATTTATTTGGGTGACAAGAAACTCGTAGCCACTACTTAAAAGTGTGAATTGGATGAATCTCTATTCTGTGTAATAGCTCACAAACCACACATGAGAGGTAAATCGCATTGAGAAACTTCTGTGTGACAACCGAAAGGATGACAAGAATCGAACTAGTGACCTTCTAATATGTAATTATGTTCTACTTGTCACCCTTTGTCTTCAATTTTAATTTTTAATAATGGTTAAGATTTTACATTCAATCTTATTCATTTAATTTGATTGCATTACCTTCGTGATTTCAAAAATAAAATCAAATTGAAATCATGAATATAATATAATTAAATTAAAAATGTATAACCCTAAATTACTATACGAGAATAAGATCAAAATTTAATTCAATCAACATAAATTTTTTATAATAAAAATTTAATAACTTTAATTTATGGGAAATATGAAGTATTTGGTTTTGTCATTAGTTAGTGGACAATCAATTTTACTTGCGTTTAGAATTGTTACTTATAAACAGAATGATTGTTAACGTGTAATTGTCACATCACAAACATGCAATTATTGTTACATTTGGAATTGAATGGTAAAAGTATAGAAAAGTACGTGACAACATGATAAATATTTTATTTATTTTTAAATAAAAAAAGTTATGAAATCTGATAAAAATGTAAAAAGTTATGTCTAAATCTCTATACGGAAAATATAAAAACAATATATTAAGAGTCGACGAAAAACAAAACAGAAGCTTTAAGACCTTTAATAGTGAATAAAATTTCCCTCCAAAATATAAGTTGGACAATTGGGAGGGAGAGATGTACGGCCCACGTGTAAGGAAATCAATGGCTGCGAATAGGCAGAGGCCTAAATAGAAAGATAAAAAACCAGAGCTCTCTCTCTCCTCTCTCTCTATCTCTCCAGGCTCAATGCCCATGCGTTCTTTGCTTGACCTTCGGGTTTCCGTTAGCCAGAGTCCTCCACGAGGGCCGTCGCTACTCTCAGAAATGAAAATGTAAAAACAATCCATTCTTTGTTTTGTTTTTAAAGAATAAAAATTCAATTCGCCATAGGAAAAAAACGTCCTCTTCATCATTGCTTTCCCTTTTTGGATAACTATATACGGATGGTTTGTATTACTTTCTGATCCGCCTTTTTTTTTTTTTTTTTGGGATTTGAATCGAAGAGGAGCTCCGATTCGTTATGCGGATGACGAGGCTTTAGAATAATTGAATCTGATCATTTGAAAATGTAGGATAATCCTTCCTGATTGAGATTGTGGATGACGTTATTCAGAATCGCAACATGACCAACCGCAACGGTGATGTTCCTCAGGTATGATTTATGCCTCTCCGTTTTATGTGTGTTTTTGAAATGTTTTGGCTTTTGAATCCAGTGTCATTATTATTATATTGAATTTTTGAAAATTTTCCTTTTTCTGTTATCATTTTGGGTTGCAGGGGGAAGGCGGTAATTTGCCGCCTGTTAGCTCCAATGATCAAGACCCGAATCGCGCTGGCAATAAGGTAATCATGATCTGCGAAACTGTCTTTTATTTTATTTTTAAAATTTTTAAATTTATCCGCAAATGCTTTTCTGTTTTTACAGGAATATACGTTTTACATTATACTTGCAATGCTATATATAGATTATAGAGTTGGTGTGTGTGTGTTTTTTTTTTTTTTTTTTTTTTTTTTTTTTTTTTTTTTCATTTCAAAGGTCCAATCCAATTTTATGTTTTTTTTTGCAGGTTTACAAAACCGGCCCCCTGTTTATATCGTCTAAAGGTTTGCCTATCCTCTTCTTTTGCTTTGGTTAGAAATCTTATTGTACTTAGGATATAAAGGATCTTTTTTAGTGTTATTCTACATTTACATGATGTTTATTGAATTTCTGTCACTACTTATGAGTTAGTTAATTGATTGAGGCATATTTTCCTTTTTACCTATACTTGTTTCTAAACTATTGCATTGCATATGTTCTTTGTGAACTGTGAACTTCACTGGTAAAACATTTAACAAGATTCCTTCCTATACTCCATAATAAGATTTAATCTTGAGTTCCTAGTAAGAGTGTAATAGTGTCTCAAGTTTGTTAGTGGTCAATGAGTAATCTAGGTAGTATTTGCCTCAATTTGGTCTCTTTTAATATATAATTATATTTCTTGGGTAGTTTTGAACAACCTAATTGCTTTGGTAGCATTATCCATTCTCTTACATTTCATCATTTGCATTTATAGATCATTTGGCACATCATAGTCATCTTATTTAGCAAAAATCATATTTAGTATAATCCCTGTTTCCTGCATTATACATTGTACACAACACTCCTTGTCGCAAAATATTTGTTTTATAATTAAATAAGAGTAATGTCCAAATAGAAATTCAGTACATAACAGAATGGAAAATGCAACACCTGAAATTTGGTAGCCAATAGCATGTTCCTTGAATTTCCTAATTAATTTTGCATGTAGGTATTGGATGGACTTCATGGAAGAAAAGGTGGTTCGTTTTAACACGTACCTCATTGGTCTTCTTTAGAAGTGATCCTGTATGTCTCTCTTTCTTATTCCACAGTTTTATATTAAGACTTAGTTGGTATTATTGCTCTCAGACCAATATCATTTTATGACTGATTTAGTATAATGTACAAATGCTGCTCCAGTTGACATGCAACATCCATATAGATATTGTTCTTCCTTTACTAAATTACCTGAACTATTAACTTGAAACATGTTTTGGGTTCTTTGCACTTGGTGTGGGGGACAATGGTTTAGTTTCACTCGCTGATGGTTAGGATATTATTGTAGGATTTTGTGGAAGGTAGATGGCTTTTTGGTACTTAAGTTGCACATTCATTATTAGTATTATTTTAAATTTGAATTAATTATCATTGTCCTAATTCAAGTCTCAACTTCTGCTTCAGGCAGGTTGATTTAACTTTTACCGAATCAGTGTTGTTGTCTTCTTCATTACTTATGCCTTTATGGAATTAATGCACTATGCCTTTTATTCTTCATGTTAACAGAAAATCTCATGCTAGTTTATGAGAATATGTGTGTGTGTATGCATGTGTCTCACTAGATTTCTGTTTTAATCCTATTGGTTGGATATTTTAGACTGCTGCTCCTCAAAAAGGAGGTGAAGCAAATTTAACACTTGGGGGTATTGATCTCAACAGTTCAGGCAGGTTGGCTTGTCTTTATCATTATGCTTCACAAAGTTTAATAGCTTCTTTCTTTTGTTGTAAATCAAATGTATTTCCTAGAAGTCTGTACCCTTTATTGTGCAAGTGTTTAATCACTTGTCAATGAATTTACAGTGTGGTTGTCAAAGAAGATAAGAAGCTCCTGACTATGCTTTTTCCTGATGGTCGTGATGGGCGAACTTTCACACTTAAGGTGTTTGGTCTTTTTGATGCCTTTTGTCTAGATTTTCCTTTTCTTTTCAAATGTTTTTTTTTTCCTTTTTATTTATCTTGTATCTTTTCATATCTTTGTTTCTGCTTAACTATTATTTTCTTACTTCTCTTCTGATTTTGATATTCTGGTAGGAACTAGGGGGATATGATATATTTGAATATCTGGACTTTGACTTTCAATTTAAACTTTCATCCTCTACTTGTGTCGTCTGCAGTCATCTGCTTGTGTATAATATGCTCTCTTTAGTTGTTATGTTGTGTTGAGCACTCCTGATATTTTAGGCTGAAACATTAGAAGATTTGCTTGAGTGGAAGACTGCACTGGAAGAAGCCTTGGTAAATGCACCAAGTGCTGCTCTCATGGTGGGACAAAATGGAGTTTTCAGGAATGATCAGGCAAATGGGGTTGATGCTTCTTCAGAACAATGTAAGTGTTTTACTAATATTGCTATGGGTCAAATGAGCTGTTTGATATAATAAGTTTCTGTTAATATTAGCTCCATGAACTTTTGAATTGTTGTAGTACAGAAAATGAAATAAAAAAGTAAAAGAGAAAGGCTTGCTTTGTCAGTCTGAAAGTCTCTGATGTGAGCAAAATACACTGTCTTTTCAGCTTTCTGATTTAATTTGCATGGCATATTGTGAAGCCCATGTACTGACATGCATGAGGTTGTGTCTGCAGTGGGTTCAAATTCATATGCTAGAATACTATTTTTATTTTTTTTTCTCATTAAAAAAAACCATAGGCTTCCAATTTAGCAAGTACAAAGTATTTTTTGTAGAAGTTTATGCATTATTTTCTTTAGAAATTGTTAGATTCATTATGTAAAATGATAACTGGAGAACTTCTGGTAACAGTTGGCTACATTTGGTTTTCTACAACCTGATGCCGTTTCAGCAAATAGAAATTCATCAGGGGAGCTTTACTAGAAAATGGCATCTTTTTGAGTTATGATCACTGCTTGACTACTATATATTTCTCCAAAGAGGGGAGATTCCCTTTGACTGAATTGAGATACATATTTGGTATTAAACTAGCTATGATAAGTCAGCAGAGTTATTTCCTAGACTTAATTGTACAAGATTCCTCTCATCTGAAAATTCAAAATTTTATTTGACCAAAAATGCATTTGCTTCAGTATTTAAGTATCTTTCTCTTGGAGCTAACTTCAAACTGCATTCATTTTCGTTCTGTAGCTAAGGACAGGCCACCCATGAAATCCTTGGTCATTGGTCAACCAGTTTTACTTGCTTTGGAAGAAGTAGATGGAACTCCATCTTTTTTGGAGAAAGCCCTTAAGTTTCTAGAAGAGAACGGTAAAGTTTCCTACCACTTTGATGTCTTGAATTTGCTAAATATGTACTTATGTACTCTCTTTTTTTGAAGAGACCTGAACTTGCTGTAGTTTCTAAGTAGGGTTTGGGTTTCCTTTGTACTGGTACTAGCATATAACTGTTGCTGCTGGCCATGTGCTTAAATGAACTTCTATTTTTAATCAAGTTAGAGTATTACCAAAAGGATTCTTGGATTAAAAATGATTAAATTAGATGTGTTATGCATAAAATGTAACAGTAAATACTAAATAGTACCCAAAGCAATTCCCATCTAGCCTCATTTATGCAAATCCTCTGTCATCCTCTAGAACCTGCAGGTTTTAAAATTAAAAAATAAAATTATTCTGAGACATAAATCTGGATCTCATCCTGATTCTTGATTCCTGATTTGACAAAGAAAGGTTGCTTTGAGGAATTATTAGGTACTACATGGTTTTGGTAATAAAGTATGATTCCTGATTTGACAAAGAAAGGTTGCTTTGAGGAATTATTAGGTACTACATGGTTTTGGTAATAAAGTATGCATTCTTACATTTGTTCATATTTGGGGTAAAGAATTTGTACTCCCTATGCATATATTATTGGGTTAATTTCCTTGAGGACCTTTTGTCCAGCATGGGTGCTGCAATTATTTTTGGAACTTTCCCAGTGCATTTAATATAGGAAAAATTGTAAAAAATGCCCCTCTATAATATGCCAATTATCAATGTCACTCCTGAATTATGAGTGGTGTAAATGTTGCCCCTCAATTATCAAAACGGTGCACATATAGCCCCTCTCGTAACGAACATGTGGTTCCTCGTTAGTGTACGACACTCTTAAGTCGGAGTAAATATGTAATTTAGTTGTTTTTTCCCTCCCTCTATTCGAAGTACCAACGATGGACAACTGTGGGGAACCACAAGTCCGTTACGGGAGGGGCTATATGTGCACCATTTTGATAATTGAGGGGTAACATTTACACTACTCATAATTCATGGGTGACATTGATAATTGGCATATAATAGAGGAGCATTTTTTAAAATTTTTCCTTTAATATATTATTGGGTTAATTTCTTTGAGGACCTTTTGTCCAGCATGGGTTCTGCAATTATTTTTGGAACTTTCCCAGTGCATTTAATACATTACTTGGCTTACCAAAACTGAAAAAGAGAATTACATAGCACACATAAAGTCAACGCACTCACCTTAATTTCTCTTAAAAGAGAAACCTGCAAAGGAAATCATTTTAAAGAATTTTCATTCATCAAGTTCTTCGACTTATTATTAGTGTTCAAGCATAACTTGCCTTTTCTTCCTCATACGCTTTAGTCATAAAATTTTTATGCTTATGTATGATTAAATTTGACCACTTAATAAGCCCTTTTCTGTGTAGAAAACAGTGGTTGAGCCTTCAATTGAAATACATATTTGCCAATTGTTAGGTGCTGATTGATTGGATTCCTTTTTTCAGGGCTTAAAGTTGAAGGCATCTTGAGACAAGCTGCTTATGTTGATGATGTTGAGCGTCGAATCCGAGAATATGAACAGGGTCTGTTGCTTTTCCACTTAGCTTTTGATGATCCCTTTGAGTTTTTTCTTTAATTGAGAAATGAGCTGGATTAAAGATATTTTAGTAGAGAACTAGCAGGGAAGTGCTATGTTTTGCATTCAAAAAGCATCTGAAGCTCTCATAACAAGTGAATCATTCTTGGAAATGACTCTTTCAATTGGCTACAAACTTCTTTCAAAGATCCATTTGTTAAGGACCGACTTTTCCAAGATACATGTTCACAGCATGAAAAAAAAAAAAAAAAAAAAAAAGTAACCCTCCCCTCCTTTTTTTTTTCCCCTCCATTTTGTTTAAACTTAAAATAATTTTTAATGTGTTGGGAGGACTTATTTAAAATTTGCAGACATGAGGTAGAGAGAGTGAGAGATTGCAGTTCCTATTTAGTATGTTATGCTTTTCTTGATAAGCGAATAGCTCTGTCCTAAAATTGAAGCCTAGATATCACTACATATACTTGATATTATGAATGCCCAGGTAGAAATTAAATTATTTGGTACTGTTCAACTTTTATTCCAGGGAAAGTTGAGTTTTCTGCAGATGAGGATGCACATGTTATAGCTGATTGTATAAAGGTATATCCTTTTATGAGAAGCATAAACAATGGTTATGTTAAATAATTGTAGAAACTTTTCTTATGTTGTTTTATACACTGAATTGCTCTATAGTATATACTCCGGGAGCTACCATCTTCTCCAGTTCCTGCATCTTGCTGCAGCGCTCTTTTAGATGCATGCCGTAAGTTTCTTGCAACAATTTTCCATTTGGACATTTTCTATTCCTGGTCCGTAATTTTTACAGAAGAGCATAGAGATCCTTGTGATGGTGAATGGTATAAAAAAAGACTTGATAGAACAGCATGATTTGCTGTACACAATTGGGCTCAAGCACATAGAGTTTCTATTTCTTTTGCTTAATTAAACAAAACTCAATCACACTATTTTCTTTGTAAACATCAAATTAGTGCATTCAAAAGGGGATTTAACGATATTTGTCCAGGGGAGTCCTCCAGTGAAGGAATCAAGTGAAGCTATTTCTTTTGCTTTCTTTTTACATACACACATGAAGGAAGAGATTAATCATGACACAGGACCAGGAGAAAGTGAACTAACTGAGGGAAGAAAGCAAACCACTTCTTACCAAAGATTTAGGACTTAGGAGAGTGCCATAGATTGAAATTCTTGGAGTAAATAAGTTTATTCTTGTCATCCACATGGGTGGAATATCACGAAATTCAAAGGAAGGGTGAAGTCAAATTGGCAATTCTATTTTGGCAGTTCTTTATAATTTTCCGCTTATTTTCTTTAATAGTTCTTTATAATTTTCAAAACCGGCCTTCTGTGTGTTTAATATAATTTTAAATGTAGTTTCTAAATATATAAATTTTATTCAATAAATTAAATATTACAAAAAAATAAATTGTAAATAAGTTGAGTAAAGTTTAGTTAACCATGTAAGGCAACCATTTTGGGCAGAGATATCATAGGTAGTTTCTCTACCTAATGGCTGGAGATCTTGAATATATTAGGTTTTGTGGTTGTTATACATGTTCTCTAAAGTGGTAAAATTGAAGGGTTTGTCACATCTAACTACTCTATTAGAGCTTTGGTTAATTTTTATTTACTGGATTGTTTTATATTTACTGTTAGGTATTGACCGTGGCATGAGAGTCAATGCTATTCGTTCAGCTATATTGGAAACATTTCCTGAGCCCAATCGACGCTTATTACAGAGGTGTCAATAATAACTACACTCTTGATTCGTTTAACTTTTGTTGTATGATGTCAGGATTGTCTTTGAAGTTGCATTTTTAAAATCCTTTTTATGCTTCTTAATTTCATTTTAATCCCTTTATGTGTGTGCACATGCATGCCTGCTGATGATTAAGTGCATTCTTGGAAAATTTCTTAGTTCTATGTTGAATTGATTTATTATAATTCCCCTAAGCGCATAATGTTCTTGCTAGAATAACTAGATACATTTTGTTGGATGTAGACCCTTGTAACTTTTATTTCATTATTCTGCATATGTTTTTTAAATGCTGAAGAACTTCAGGTAAATTTTGACGAATTCATTTTGCTTTTATGAACCAGAATTCTTGTAATGATGAGACATGTGGTTGCTTACAAGAATGAGAACCGAATGAGCACTTCAGCTGTTGCTGCTTGCATGGCACCTTTGCTACTTCGCCCTCTATTATCTGGAGAGTGTGAACTTGAACATACCTTTGATTTAGGTGGTGATGGTTCTGCTCAACTTCTGCAGGCAGCTGCTGCAGCAAATCATGCTCAAGCTATTGTTATCACTTTACTAGAGGAGTATGATAATATTTTTGGGGTATGATTATTTTTTAGTTATTTTTATATCTTGTGATTGCTATTAACTAACACATCAATTGAGAAGTTGAGATTTAAATCATCAGTAAATTTGTAGTCATTTTGGGAGGGCATCCAAAATTTCTTTGGTATGCATGCAGAAATGAATTTGCTTGTGTGACACATACATCATTTCATTTGGTATGTGTCGGTTTTAATTTAGCTAGCCCAACATAAACAGCAAGTTTCCTTGCAATCATAGCAAGAAAAACAATAGATGGGTTAAAGCTTTTGTAGCAACTAAGGCCTGTGACTACACATTTGCTAGAATGCTAGTAACTGGCTGAGATTGTGTGAAGATAAACAGATAAGGTGAGGGCCTTTAAATAACTCCTATGTTGACCTGAGAGCAATGCTCAAGAACCCACTTCCACATCTACTGCCATGTTGTAATTGATTCATTGCTACCTTTCAATGTCTCTAGCAAAATCTCAGCAGCATCTGATCCCTCTTGTCATACTGGGTATTTGCCCCTGGATCTAGACCCTGTGACCTGGGCCTCTGAGCACCCTTCTGATGCCCCCCTAGGATTGTTGGACCCAGACCAAATTATGGCCAATTCTGGGCTGGGCTGAGTATATTAGCCCTGATAGTATGCATCTTGCAAATTCATGAGTAATGGTTATGACCTTACAATAAACTCACACTCCTAGCGAAAAATGAAATTGTTCTGTTTCTCTTATAAACTTCTTTACATTCTCATATATTAAGAGTTAATGCAATAGGATTTCTCTGGTTGTTTGTTTAAGGTGTTACTAGTTGATCCATATAGTTTTTTTGGTCTAACTCATTCAGGTTTGTCGGGTTTTCTTCTGTCCTAGTGTACTCCCAAAAAATTGTTATTATCCTCTCCCATGGGGGAGATGGGATTGCTATTTCCTGGAACTATCTATTTTGAACCAAAAAACACATTTTAGTTTTCTTGAGAACAACATTGCTAATGACCCACCCACCACTGAGGTGGCTTGGGGAACCCATGTTCCTTGAAACAAGCAGCACTGTGAGCATGCCTGAGATTGGAAGGATGATTCCATCCAGGCTTTGTTTTACTGGTTCTAGCAGGCTTCTTGTCAACCCACCAAAAGTAGTTTGCTGCTCTCTCTTTTTTTTTTTTTTTTTTTTTTTTTTTTGAAACATTTGCTGCTTTAGTTTATCACTGTTTTACTAAACAATAAAAGATATGTATTCTGGTCAGCCTTCTTTTTTCAGTTACAAAGAATATTTCCATCTTCTGTTCTTTTGTGCCTAGTAATCTTTCTTTCCCACCCCCCCTAAATTTATACTTGGTTAATAACCAATTTAACTGGTAGCAGGAAGGCTCTGTGCAACCTGAACTTTACTCTGACTCGGATGGTAGCGGAAGCGGGAGTGAAGAACTTACTGATGATGATGGAAGTTATGAAGGTAGTGATTATGATGAAGAAGGAGAAGAAGAATATGAAGATGATGGTGATGATGCTGATGAGGGCTCTGATGCAGACATCATAGAAGATTCTGAGCATGCATCTAACGCTACCAGTGAGACTGGAAATGACTGTGCTAGTAAGGTTTGTTGAAATTTCCCTCAGCATCTACCAGACATAGATGAATATGAAATCATCCATGACACCCCTTTCACTGATTATATATTCTGGTTCCCTCATTGCATTACCATCTTTGCAAAACCCCAGTATGCATCTTTATGCTTGAGAGTCCTGTAGCTTGGACTTGTTTTTATTTTTTTTAATACTTCAGATGGATCTGATGCCATGCATGGCAAAATATCCGACAATCTAAATTTGAGAACATTCAAAAATGAACTAATATAACAGCTTAACTAATTTCAAGAAAGGCATGAGTGGTGCCTATCGAGAACAAATCGAGCAAAAATAGATTAAGATGGTTTCAATATGCTTCATGTAAGGCAGGTATTCTGAAACTTTCTTGGCTTGAAGTAATTACAAAGATTTCCTACATCAAGAGCTTGCAATGAATTTAGCACTTAGTAGAGTTGAATAATAGTGAAATTCCTGCACCAACTAAATTAGAATTAGGGCCTAATTGAGTTGAGTTGTGTGCAGTCACCAAGTCATCCTGGATGGTATAACCTGGTATCTCTCTTGAAGAATAGCAGTAATTTAAGCCCTTTACCACCATATAAATATTTCATTTTTGGTAGAAGTGTTTGTTCACAGTTAAAATGTTTCAAAGACTTGTGCTGAACTTTTTCCAATGCTTTCTGTTGAGTGTCCAATATTCAGTTTCTTTTGTTTATTCCATTTTCCTTTATATGTCAACCATAGCCTTTATATCTCAACCACAGCCTTTTATTCATCCCCCAGCCATCTCCCTCTCTCTAAAACTAGTAAACTTATTCTGCTATACTGAAGATGCAGGTCTCCAGTCCTAGGTCACCTGAATTAGGCAATGCTCTTGAAACAAAGGGAAGGATAGGCAGTACTGAATCCAATGCTGAAAGTTCTGACATGTCCCCTTCTCAAAATTCTAGAAATTATGCAACAGTGCCTGCTGTTCAGCGACAAGCCCTCTTGGGACGTGTTCCTGTTAGTATTACAGTATCTTTTAGATAACATATACCTTTTCAATGCAGACTTGTTCTCATTTCTATGTCACTTCAAGTTCTCATTTACTATTTTACTTGGGTCATCAATTTTTTTCCTTATTGTTAAACTATTTTCTAGATAAGTCTCTACATTTGAAATGCTTTTAATAGAATTGTTACTCATGTTCTTTTCTTTTGTTTCTTGAACACAGGGCAAGAAGAAGAAATCCATGGAGGCTGTTGCTATCGCCCATGACGATGAGTAAGTGATTCCCTTGCAATCTGTTAAATTATAAGGCAAAACATTTTTTTTACTTTACTCATTTACAGCTCACAGCTCTTGTTCTTATTATTTTGGGATTACCCAGCTTGATACCTGAGCCTTTTGCATTGGGGCAGACCAAATGTTATTTGCTTTACAACCTTTTCTCTATCTATAAAAATTTGGTGTTGATTACTTTTGTCTTCACCTAGATCTTTTTGGACTAGATTACCTACTAGGATAACATACTGTAGGTTAAATTGGTAATAGGATTTGGTAAATTTCAGATTGTGTTACGATTCCATCTTGATATTGCATGCAATATTTAGAATGAGATGTGCTTCTTCATGCATCATATCTCTTTTTTTTTTTTTTTTTTAAAAATCTGCAAACTGACTTCTTTTTGTATCATCTGCACCAAAATATTTGACAAATTATTCTGGTATCCTGTTGTTTCATTCTTCTTAGTGCTGACCTCGAGAGGCTTGAGGCCACCAAAACTGACTTACAAAACAGAATCGCTGAGGAGGTATCATAATCATTTTTCATATGGAGTATCCACACTCTTTATCTTGATTATATGTTTCTTTTCTTGTTCATTTTTGTTATCATAATTTTTATCTTGTCTTGATAGGGTAAGGTGAATCAAGTTCTACAAGAAGGTATGGAGAAACGAAGGATTACTTTGCATGAGCGTCGTTTTGCTCTTGAGAAGGAAGTATGTTCTTGATCTGGTACTCTTGCTTTTTTAGTTTCTAGATGAGTGCCTTTTTAGTTAATACTTTTTTCTATACATATATAAAATAGAACTCACTTTGAGGTTGCAGTAAACCCTTGGACATGCTAAAGTGATATATATTGATGCTTACAACTAATTTTTATAGACTGGTGCAATGCCATGATGAAATGAATACGTACATTAGCTTTAAAACACCTTAAAGCATATTTGACTGCAGGAATTTCCCTGACTAACATTGCACCTTCAATCAGGAATTGTTTGAGGGAACAAAAAATAGCATTGTCTTTGATTTGCACATCTCTTTGGTATCAGTCGGGTCCCTTTTGAAAGCCTCTAACAACAGTTACTGTTTGCACAATGTGGTCAAATATCTTATCATCTATCTTTCCACTTACATCTGTATTGTGCCATATCCCATTCATTTTTGTGTAAGAAGTTCTAGACATGCGGACTATTTAGCTTTAGGATTCATTTTTCTGATTTTAGATGCTGTCTTCCCTTTTGTAATTCTGATACCCTGATCAAACTGTCACAAAGTTTTGATTGCCTTCTTGTCTAGTAGATTTGAAATCTTTAAATTTTTTACATGGACAGGTGGCTAGGCTTCAGGAACTGTTGGAGAAGGAACAGGAGTTGAGGATGATATTTGCAGCTCAACTTACCAATCCTCAAGGATCACAGTCCATCCCTTCCACTATAAACAGAACTGTGAGTTTAACTCCATCTCTGGCAATTATATCTTATTATGCTGGTAATAATAATCTTCTTTGTTGCAATAGGTGAAAGCAAAGCTTGAGGAGATTGCTCAAATTGAGGTAGATGTTATGAATTTGAAACAGAAGGCTTCTGATATTGAAGCGGAACTCAACAAACAGCGGGAACAAAATATGAAATATCATACCGAGGCAGGCATTCCACATCAAAAACCAAATTATCAAGGAAAACTGTAAGTGTTTTTTTTTTTTTTTTTTTTTCCCCTTCATTTCCTTTGGGACAAGTCTCTATCTGATTACGCTTTACATGCTTTGCCACTCTATTGTCTTGTTCGTTAAGGCCCTCTTCAGCCTTCCTGCCTCCCAAGTCCCAAATAGAAAATCCCGTCTTTAAAAAAATGAAAGAAATATGGATGAAATGGCATTCTATTTTCATCTGCTTATATTTGGTTATCTGGCTACAGAAAGGACAAAGCAGAGGGTGACAAGGACAAGAAAAATGATTTTCAGCTGGCAGTGAATAAACCGCTGATAAATTTTAACGCTCCCGCAGCATCATTTGCTGCCTCTGTGGAATCTCTGTTGGCTAATAGGCCTCCAACTATCACCAAGAAATCTGGTTCAAAAACTGAGGTATTTTTGTTAATAAAATGCTAGTTTCACCACTTTAAGCTCTCAGCTTGTGTGAAGTTAACGGTTTACATGTTTGATTGTCAGGGGGCCACTACTTCTTCAGCACTGACAAAGCTAACAAATCGGCTCAACTTCTTGAAGGAGCAATCACAGCAACCTCCAGATAAACCAAAACCCTCAGATGGGCAAAACAATCCGGACCGAGAAAAATCAGAAAGCAGTGGCAGCAGCAGCAGCAGCAGCGCCCCTGATAAAAGCCGAAATAAGGTCTCCCCTAGGACAGCCTCCAGATGATCTGACGGATTAGGCACATATATGTATGTATTATCTGATGGATTGTTGGAGGACAATAACACCAGAAGGATGGATGATAAACAAGCTAGCTAGCTTTCCAAATGTGTCCTTGCCCTGCTGCAGCTGATCAGCTGGTTGGGACTTGGGAGCAAAGGTAGTGCTGCTATTTTATTTTATAGGTTTCTATTGCCAAAATAGAGAATCTATCTATTTTTTTTTTATAAAAGTAATGTATAGTGGCTCATTAGAACTCACTCATCCGCAACCTTTGTTTCCCCTAGAAGCTTAAAACCACTGACATAAATCTTTACAAAGAATTTTACTTATTTATTTATTTATTAATTTATTTATTTTGTTTAATTGTAAAGAACATGAATTTCTCCCTCTCGGGATAGTTTGAGAGCAAAATTCAATAAGGTTTTTGCTTCCTTCGTTCTCTTGTAAAAATACATTACTGTCTCTAATAGTCTGTAGTTACTACATTCTCAATTTGATTGGATGGGGTATGCACATAATGAAATAGGTTCAAAGATGAGCTCATAAATTACACTACTAAAATAAGAAATACCATTTACCCTATTCTATAATATGGTATTACAGTCTTGCATTTTTATTATTATTATTATTATTATTATTATTATTATTATTATTATTATTAAATACTAAAAGAAAGAGAGAAATATGGGTAAATTGATCTGCAGTCCCGCACTTTAATTTTTTCTCTTTATTTTACAAATTTAAAATGATGTTACATAAACTAGTATTTGCGCCCGTGCGATGCACAAAATGGATTTGTTGTAATATATTAAGAATATTTGGATTGCTATATAATTATTTAAATTAGAATATCAAATATTATATAGTGCAATTGAAAATATGGTTCGGATCGTTTATATGTTTTGATGTTATCATTGCTTGAATTTGAGCAAATAATTGCTCAAATTAATAACTGATGTGTAGATCTACGCATGCGGTGCTGCGGTACTGTAACTTTGAAGATTTTATTTATCATTGTTTAGTATTTTTATAAATTAGGCAAACATGATCATTCTTTAGCAACTCAGTTATATGAATGAATTGCTTTCCTAATTCATTTGTATGATTTTTTTTTTTTTTTTTTTTGTCTAGATATATAGCAGTTTTGTCATTTAAAAAAACCTAATATCATTGATTGTATTTACACATTATTGAACCTCATTGTATACGACATTGGTAGTAGCAACACAATCTTGTCAATCCTCGTCTATAGTTAACATCTTCGGTCCATTAGGATGGGTGACTCAGATGAAAATATATAATCGTAGAATATTAGTCAATTAGTGATCCTTTTATATTTTCAGTCAATTAGTAATATCATATTCATTTTCAGCCAATTATTTTTATTTTTTTTTATTTTCTGTCAATTAGTCAATTAGAATATCAGATATAGTGATATTTTTACCTAATTTTCGTTCTATTTTTAATTGATGATGTAGAATATTATTATTGAAATATTTCTGTTCCATTTTTAATTTACCTTTACTATTGTTTAAAATATGCATTTACTATTGATGATGTATATTATTATTGAAATATTTCCGTCCAATTTTTAATTAAAATGCAATGATCTGACCATTTTTTTTCACTTTAGTCAATTATGAATCATTTTTTATTTGTAGTCAATCCTTTTATATTTTCGGTCAATTAGTAATATCATATTCATTTTCAGCCAATTATTTTTTCTTTTTCAGTCAATGAGTCAATTAGAAATTAGATGTAGTGATATTTTTACATAATTTTCATTCCATTTTTAATTGATGTTGTAGATATTATTATTAAAATATTTCCGTTCTATGAAGGCCTAAGTTTTGGGGGGAAATTTTCATTAGATTTTAAATAAATGTTACCATAATTATATGCAATAATTTGTCATATATAAATTTCTTACTTTAGTAATATTAATCATATGATAATCTATTCTATTAATAAAAAATAAAATCCTCCCTGCATAGCACAAAGAGAACAATAAAAAACACCATCAGATACTCAATACTTAAAACACAACCCACAATATATGTTAAAAAAATTGAATCGAACAAATAATCCATACTCTAAAAACAAAAAATATAAGAACATTTTTTTTTTATATAAGAATTAAATTACAGGAAATCAAGTTTAGGTCAATAAAAGCAAAAAAAAAAAAAAAAAAAAAAAAAATACTAAATGGTACTTTCAAGCATGCACATACATGGATATTTTATCTACTGACCTTCAATTCTTTCTCAGAATCAAATGAAGAGGAACCCGCTTTTCACCACATTCTTCTGAATCTTGCCTTCAACATTTTTTTTTTTTTTTATCTCTATAACTTGTTTTAAAGTTGAATCTTTTTTTCTGCTTTTTTTGCGTTGGCCTTCTCGACCGCAGCTTTCGCTTCCCTATTAACTACAAAGTCACCAAAAAACAGGGAACTCGGGTGGTATCCCCTACTGACTCTGTAACTATTGCATCGCACAAATAACAAAAACCGTGCCTGGAAATAAAATATATAAACAATATTTCAAACTTAATGTTTTAAACAAAGCAAAAATACAAAAAAAAAAAATACATATAATACAAAATTTTAAAAACAAAACAATAATTAAAAACTACGGAAGATAAATTATAAACAAAAATAATACGAAAGAAATACTTTTCTAAAAAAAATAAACTTGTTTGCATCGGCTTAGTCGAAGCAACTACAACTGGTATGAAGTTGCATCAACCCGGACAAATCCATAATAAAGAATGTAAATGAAAAAATAATAACTTTTTCATAGAGATAATAATAGCTAGAAGAGAAAGTGTACCTTTAATGCTTTTAAATATGCATATTAGTTTGAGTGGCTATTGAACCACAATGATTAATAAATTGATAAATGAGTGATGAGAGAGTCATCTGCAATGGGAAAGAGGGACCAAAGATAAAATGAAGACTCATAATTTTTTTAGTCATCAACTCATTGTATTTATAGGTGAAAAATATGAGAATTATAAATTTGTAAAATTTTTCAAAAGGAAAGTGTATTTATTTATTTAAGGTATTGCCATAATCAATTCATTATATTGATATTCCTAATCAAGTCATTATATTAATATTAATATTCCTAATTAATTTTATTCCTAATTAATTCATAACATTGATATTACTGGCTATTCATTATAGATTGGATTTATATTTACTTAATTTACTACCTAATTGTTACCTAATAAGCTAATATATAATATTCACACAGAATTTACTTTATATAGAGTATATAGACGGAAATGAATAATATATAATATATAATTTCTATATTTTTTTAATTAATTAAAGTAGAAAATTAAGATGTTATATAAATGTCCATAATTTTTTTTTTTGGGGGGGGAGAGAAATTTGGGAAGGAGGATTTCACTTTTATATATATATATATATATATATATATATATATATATGTGTGTGTGTGTGTGTGTGTGTGTGTGTGTGTGTGTATATATATATATATATATATATATATATATATATATATATATATATATATGACTTAGTAACTTGGTAATTGGTATCAACATAGGCAATGGAAGAATTATACAAGTGAGAAAAATATGAGAATGTAAAAAGAAAATAGCATTAATATGATCCACAGAGAATTGTAAGAATAAAGATTGTCTAATGCAATATTTACAAGACACTTAAAAACAAAATAGAGAAAAAACAACCCTCTGACAAAAATAAAATAAAATACTCCGTATTATTACACATTTTTTTTTTCAAATTTAAATTTCTATTTAAAATTTTAAAAAATACTACTCCGTAAAAAAAACAACCCTCTGACAAGCCAACTTTTTAACTCCTTATATTTTAAAAGTTTTACTATTTACAAGACACTTAAAAACAAAATAGAGAAAAAACAACCCTCTGACAAAAATAAAATAAAATACTCCGTATTATTACACATTTTTTTTTTCAAATTTAAATTTCTATTTAAAATTTTAAAAAATACTACTCCGTAAAAAAAACAACCCTCTGACAAGCCAACTTTTTAACTCCTTATATTTTAAAAGTTTTACTATTCTATGTGATGGATACTGATAAACTATTTTTTCCATGGAAGTCCTAATACAATTATACAAGTGTTTACGTCAAAATTTTGTGTATAAAATAAAAAGAAATAAAGGTCAAATAAACCACTGAATTACACATTATATTACAATTGAGTCATTCAACTTTAAAAAGAACTACAATTAAGTCTCTAAATAATGCAAAATTATACAATTAAATCAAAGGTGACATATTTGACGGCTGACGTGAGAGTTATTAAATTTTAACAATAAATTTATAAATATTTTAAAAATGATTTTAAATTAAAAAACAAAAAAAAAAAAATCCCAAACCCCGCGTTGACTGCATTTTAAATTGGATTACAATTTTTTTAAAATTAGATAATCCAATTACAATTTTATGTGTAATTAAGTAACCTATTTAAACGGGACAGCACATCAGTAAGTTTACTCACGGATTGCATGGAATTGGCTACGATTATCAGGCACCATCACACGCCGATCCATTCGTACGTTGGGGTCACAGTTGACCAGTGCAGAACGTTTATGTCGTTGTTTAATCGTATTACTTTGGATTACATCTCTAGGCAGGTTAATTTACATGCGCATACTTTAGCTACGTTAGCATTTACTCAGGATCAAGCTATGTACTGGGATGCTATCCCACCTGACGCTATTTCGACTTTGATTCATTAATACAATCGCAAGATTGACCTTCAAAAAAGTAACCTATTTTGATTTTTATTCCAAATAAAAGTTAATAATAAAAAATAAAAATACACATAATATTTTCAATATTTTAATGACTGGTAAGTGGTAACCTGTCGTGATGTGAGTATACAAGAATCTGTGGATGCATGGTGAAGGACAGCCAGCATACTAAAAGCACACTACTTTTAATTTGGTTCCGATCCCACAATCATCACATTTCCAATTTTACTCTCTCACTTGATTTCAATCAACTCGCCGCTGTTTCTCACTTCTCGCTCGCAAATTTCACTGTGTTCTCTGTTACAAATGGGCTCTGTATCGCTCAAAATAGGAGACGGCACAGCAAGATTCAAGAAGAGGGCTTCCATTTGCTCCTCAGCGGTAAATGTTCTTATGATCTGCTCGGTACTCACCACAAATCTCTTTGCTTTTTACGCTTTCACACACGCCCCCAACACCCATCAAACCCATCTCCTACTTCACCAGACCCACAAGAACATCTCCCTCATCTCCGACCAAGTCTCCTTGATCCTCAGGGAGATCGATTCCTCTCAGAAGAAGCTTGCCCAGGTGCAGAAACAGCTCCTAGGGTATGAAAGCATTGATCTTTCCACACCCAATGTTGCTGCTGAGCTCAGGGCGTTTCTGCTTCACCACCACCTCCCTCTGGGCAAAGATTCAAGAACTGGGATCACTGAAATGGTGGCTTCCGTCGGCCATTCTTGTGAAAAATCTGTGGATTTGCTGTCACACTTCATGAACTATAAGGTCAGTGGGGCTTGTCCGGATGATTGGAGTCTTGGGCAGAAGCTGATTTTGAGGGGCTGTGAGCCTTTGCCAAGGAGGAGGTGCTTTTCCAAGACTATACCTAAGGTGGGTTTGCAACCTTTTCCTATTTCTCTTTGGAGCAACACTAGTGAAAAGATTTATAGTTGGAGTGGCCTTGCTTGCAAGAACTTTGCTTGTTTGAATGCTAAGAAATTGAACAGAGATTGTGCTGGTTGCTTTGATATAGTTAGTGGGTATGAGACTCAGAAATATGTTAAGGCTAGAGGGAAGAATGATTTTCTGCTTCATGATGTGCTCTCAATGGGAAATGGTGGAATCAGGATTGGGTTTGATATTAGTGGTGGCTCTGGAACTTTTGCTGCTAGAATGGCTGAGAGGAATTTAACTGTGGTGACTGCATCTTTGAATATTGAAGCACCTTTCAATGAGTTCATTGCTTCAAGAGGGCTTTTTCCGCTTTATATAAGTTTGGATCATCGATTCCCCTTTTATGACAATGTGTTTGATCTGGTTCATGTTGGAAATGGACTGGATGTTGGTGGCCGCCCTGAGAAACTGGAATTCTTGATGTTTGACATTGATCGGGTTCTTAGGTCCGGAGGGCTGTTTTGGTTGGATAACTTTTATTGTCAGAGTGATGATAAGAAAAAGGCTTTAACTCGGTTGATCGAGGCATTTGGATACAAGAAGTTAAAATGGGTTGTGGGAGAGAAGAGCAATGGGTCAGAAAAGTCGGAGGTGTACCTGTCTGCTGTCTTACAGAAACCAGTTAGAGCATAAGTACATCACGAGATCAGAGTAGTTTTGGTAGCACTAAATTTCTATGCAATGCCGGGAGGTAACTATTCATGTAATTTCAACGTTTTAAACTCATGAATTTCTTTATAGCTTTGAATGAGTGATATGCAATGCCTAGGATGACCAATTCTTCAATTTAGATGGTTTGAATTCTGAAAAAACGATCTCACTTTTTTCTACTATGGCTATAAGAATTGAAAAACTAAACATGGTATCAACTCAATGTTTTGTTTGCATCAAAATATACCGCTTTTGAATCCCATTCGACCATTCCCTGACACTTTCAGTTTTGGATGGACTTATACTAGAACTGTAGCCTATCTGGTTGTGTTCCACAATTTCAATGGTTACAACATTTCAGTCTCATCTAATATGTTAAAAACTTTATTGGTTTCATAGTTTGTATTTTGCAGAATGCAACTTACCAAAGTGATAATTGAACAAAATAAGTTGTGCTATAAGATGCCATGAAGGCATAAATTGAATTGTCTGTATGAATTTCTTGTGTTATTGTTTACATTGTTTGATTTCATCTCCCATCAAATGTCCCCGAAAAAGAGAGAAGAGGGGGGGGGGGGGGGGGGGTGTGGGGTTGATCCAATTATTACTGATTTATCAATATGTATAAAGCTTCATAATGTGGTGGCACTACTTTTTCTTGGTGGATCTTTTAGCTTCTTCACCATATAATAAAACAATTCCTTTTCTTTTTTTTTTTTCCTGCTCAGATGCATATTTTCCAGACAAGCTTATGGAGAGTAGATTTGCGACAAGTGCTTGTTGGTAAATTTTCAAAATGACATCTCCATTGTTTTCCATCTGAAGTAGAGAGATTTGTGCTTGGCCAACCACTCCCGTTGCAACCTCATATCTCTTTGTTATATGTTGTTTTTTCCCTCAAGAACGAACAAAGACAAATTAGTGTAGAGACACCCACCCGCAAATATATAACCATAAAAAAAAAAAAAAAAAAAAAAAAAAAAACCCTCCCTTCCTATAGCTGTGCCTCCTCCTTCCTTCTTTGATGGAGTTGAATCACCCAACATCAATCTGGAAACCTTAGAAAGGAAGGTGGAGTGTAAATTTAGGAAATGGAGGTGCAGAGATTGCGAGGAGTGTTGTTACTCTGGTTAAGGTTGCAAAATAATCGAGTTGCATTTGAGGGCGGTAATCACACTGCTGCCAGGTTTTGCACTCGCTAATCTTTCCATTTTTTGCATCCTTCAACCCAATTTTGCTCTTAGTTAAAATAATAAATAAATTTGCCTACTTTCTTCTTCAACTCTCTCTCTCTCGAGTCCCCTAAAGATCTGTAGCCTTTGTTTCCTCCGATTTCATATAAAAAGTTTTCATTTCAAGATCCTGCTTTCTTCTCAGCCTGTTTAATCCCAGAGATTCGAGTTTTAAAGGAATGGATCCTCTGTTGGGTTTTCAACCAAAACATCAGGATAAAACGAAGATCCTGCAGATTGATGGTGGAGATGCCCATTTCTTGGTGATTAGATTGTGTAATTCTTGGATTCTGAAATTGTTGGGTGCTGTGATTTTGGCATTGGTTATTGTCTCTTTTCCCTGGGTTAGAACAATGACTGGAGAATCATGGCCTAATCTGCATGAACCTAGGAACATTTCTGATCCTATCAGTGTGGATCTATTGCCTGGAGTGTTTCATGATCTGGCTAATGAAGGGCTTCTCAGACATGGCGATCGAGCCCTTTTTGTCAGCAACGAGGAAGGCATTTGTGGTTGTCGAGTAATTTCTGATTATAACATGGATTTGGTCTCTGTTTCAGACATCCAGCGCCAAAGGTTGATCCCAGAGGAGACATATGATTTCGCATTTGCCCATGGCTTGACAGAAACCTCGGATTTCGTGAACCGGGGTGTTAAGGTAGGTGGATTTGTTGTTGTGCAGCTCACTGACAACCCTGCCGTGGGGTTCCAGAAGCCTGGGAACTCGAGGATTGTGTACCTCAGGAAATTCGAGTCCGCCATGATTGTAACCATGAAGAAAACAGGCACCAATTCCACCCCGAATAGGCGGCGGTTGCTGGGGATTGAATCAGAAGCCCGAGTGGCGGCGCTCAAGAATCTTGAAGATGTCCTCCTGGAACCCCCCCGAGCCGCCTCCGGCAAATCCACCTCCTACAGCAAGAGAACCCGGTATCTCCCCGACCTGATGGGCGTCTCCCTGGAAAGCTACCCCCGCCGAGTGTTCATCTACGCCACCCTGCGTGACAACAACGACGCCTCCACCTCCACCTCCACATCCGCCTCCGCTTGGTTCACAAAGAACTACCCTTTAGGAAACTCCAAATTCGAGATATTCCAGGTAGGGAATAGGGATGTCAATCCAGCACTACTAGAAATTATGAAATCTCCGACCACCTGAAAGTGATCTTAAATCAAGTTGAAAGCAAAAGGTGATCTGAAATAGCAACAAAGGTTTTTCCAGATGCCAAAAGTGGTCGGAACAAGGCTTTCGACTTGATTTAAGATCACTTTTAGGTGGTCAGAAATTTCATAATTTCCAGCAGTGCAGCCAGCTCGTTCCTTTGATAGTTTATCAGTTTCGGACTATAAGATTGATGTAATTTCAGGTTGAAGCAGTGGCAGAGGCGTCGGGGTCGGGTGGTGGCGGGGAAGTTCCGGGGGTGAGCATGTCGGATTGGGTGGGGAAGAACGTGGAGGAGAAGGATTATGTAGTGATGAAAACGGAAGTGGAAGTGGCGGAGGAAATGATGAGGAGTAGAGCAATCAGGTTGGTGGATGAACTTTTCTTGGAATGCAAGCATCAAGGGATAAAGAAAGGTGGTGACAAAAACAGGAGGGCATATTGGGAATGTTTAGCTTTGTATGGTTCACTCAGGGATCAGGGTGTTGCTGTGCATCAATGGTGGGGTTGAATTACTATTTTAATTAAAAAAAAAAAACAATTTTCATGTTTTGTTATTTTTTTCATCTATTAATAGGATTTGATTTTATCCTTTTGTTAATCTTTTATTTATTTGTCTGAAATTAAGAAAGTATAGAACATATACTACTTTGTAATAGAGTCAATAGTACTCAAAAAAAAAGTTTATTGAATTTTTTTTCAAAAATAGAAAAAGTATAGAACATATACTACCTTGTAATAGAGTCAATACTCAATAGTACTCAAAAAAAAAAAGTTTATTGACTTTTTTTTTACAATTTTTTTAAGACTTGATAATTATAAATTATTTAATACTTTAATAGTTAATACTAAAATATTAAATATTAACGTAAAAACATATAAGATTTGAACGATTTAGAATTATTTTGCTCAAAACGACGTCATTTTAAGTAAAATAACTCTTTAAAAAAAAATAACAATATCTAATCAGCTGACTAGGCAGCCTAAGCAGTTGATGCCTAATCGGCCTAGTTGGCCGTCTAGTCGGTCGACTGCCTAGACCGCCGATTATGATGATACACTAGGTGATTGGCAGGCGCCTAAGCGCGATTTTTACCATATTGATTATATGTTCAAACCTAGATCCTAACGCGGATTTATGCGCTAATCGAATGGATCATCACATTATGAGAGTTCTTTAAAAATCCTCAAAATGTCTTAATTTGTTGAGACACGAATTTATATAACGTTTTTGTTTGATTTAATTATTCTATTGTATTTTATATATAGTCACGAGGTCACAGCCTCACAGGTGATTAATCAAACATATCAGCTTGATAACGCCAAATGGAACCTGGTGTGGAAAACGAAACTCCCTTACAGAATTAACTTTTTTCATGTGGCTCGTCATGCATGGACGAATCATGTGTAATGCTAAGCGAAGAAGAAGACACTTCACTCAAGATGACTATTGCCATCTTTGTCATGGAACCAGTGAAGATATTGACCATGTGTTGAGAAAATGTTCAGCTGCTGCAAATGTCTGGAAAGCTCTTATGCCTCCCATTATGGTGAACACTAGCACCTATACTAAATTGAGCACCTGGGTGGCGGAAATCTGAAGTTCAAGCTAAGGGTGCCAAGCACGGCTTCCAGGATTGGAGTGCTGCTTTTAGCGTTACTTGTTACAAGCCTGAAGATGGAACAATCGCTGTGAATGTTGATGGCAGCAGCAACGCTAAGAGTCAAGAGGCTGGTTGTGGTGGAGTTTTGAGAAATCATAAAGGCGAATAGATCGTGGGTTTTCAACGTAATCTTGGAAACTGTCCTGGAGATGTTGCTGAAGCCTGGGCGATCCTCACTGGTCTTAGAGTAGCTTGGCATATGAAGTTTATCAAGGTGGCTATCTAAAGTGATTCTGCCAATATTGTCAACTCGATTAATGATCCGCTTTTTGACGCCAACCGTGGAGGTACTCTTAATAACCTCATTTTTGAGTGCAAATCTTGGTTGAAAAAAAATTGGACTGCCATTTGCTATCATATTTTGAGAGAACAAAATTAAGTAGCGAATTTGCTGGCGAAGAATTCTCGATTTCATCCCGATTTGGCCCTGTTTTATTTTTTCCCAAACGCCGATCTCGACACGTGTTCAGAGGGACTATATCGGGGCGCCCTATGCCCGTGGTGATTGACTTTTCCCTTTTAACCCGGGGCTTCGCCCTTCCTTTTTTGTAAAGAAATATAACCTTTTTGTTTGATTTAATTATTCTATTGTATTTTATATATAGTCACGAGGTCACAACCTCATAGGTTAGAGTCTCAGCTAAAAATTATGTAGTCATGAGTTCTAGACAAATCAAGGTTGGCAGGCGTGGGATGAGAAATTGTAGGATCGTTATATCGTGGACCATGGACCTTAGTCCAATACACATAATTTATGTTCATAATGCACATACTTCATGTTTATAATGCACATAATTTATGTTCATAATACACATACACATAAATATGATATAATGAACATAAGTTATGTGCATTATGAACATGAATTCTGTACATTATGAATATGAACTCTATGTATTATGTTAAATGCTTATGTGTATTCATTATACTGTATTTATGTATATGTATATTATAAACATGAATTATGTACATTATAAACATAAATTCTGTACATTATGAAATCAAATTGTGTGTATTGGATCAGGGTCTACAGTGCACTGTAGACGCTGATCCACGATATAAATTGTCGAAATTGTAGTGCGGAGGTCGGAGAAGGGCCAAACGGCCTATCAATATAACTTTTGGCCTAGTGGTTAAGGGGATGAGGGATTGTTACGCTTGATTCATGGTATCCTGTTTCAAATTCGAGTTTACTTACATAGATTAGGAAAATTCTCCCTTGTGATGATGGTATGAAACGTATGTAGAAAATGAATAAGAAAGTGTTGGCATTCAACACCGGAGGCTCTTGCGGCCGGGGCGGGGAAGTCAAACAATGGATGCAAATTAAAAGTCAAAAGGCACCACTACAAATAACAATTTAACGTCGTTATTTGATTAAGGCATACAAAGTCATGAATTGAAGCAACAAAAACGTACGACCAAACTAACCCACCACCGCAAATCAGTAACTCAACCGGGCCGACAAACAAACAACGATGGTCCCTCGTCCCTGCGGTCAGCCGTTAGATTATGCGAATGCTGACTATAACAACAATATAATGAATTGAAGGCGACAATAATTATTTGGGCATGTCCAGTTCAGATGGATCGGATATCCTTCTTCATCTATCTCTCTTCTCCTTTACACCGCCTCTTTTGACTTAGCTCAATCTTCCCCTTTTCCTGTAGGCCACCCATCATTCAATTATAGGGTAACTTATTACTGCCCAATTGCCCATGTTTAATAAAGTTAAATAGATGTTGAAAAAGTTTGGGATTTTTAATTTTATTATCAAAAAATATTTATTGGTATTTCTAATCACCACCGGAAAGTTATATGATTTTGCTTCTTAATCCTGGAAAAAATAGCTAACAAAATACAATGTACAATTTACTCATTATAAAAATAGAGCGTTGTAATTAAGCACTGTAGGAAATCGGAATTAAAAGAATGTGGTTTTTTCAACGGCGGATCGGAGCACCGGAACGGGAATCTTTTAGGCACAAATCAAATCATCATCTATCTGTAGAAAGAATGAAAATGACGGCAGCGCCGCCCCTGCGGCGGCGCAGCGGCAGATCCCAGTGCAGGCGGATCGGAGGCTTTGTCCGACAAAGCACCGACATTATTGTACTTATATTCTAGATTAGATCAGAAATCCCAATTCTCTTATATATTCTAGAATCTAGATTAGATTATCAGTAACATCTATGAATCAGCATGCACGCATGCATTATAAATTTTGGATCTTTTTTAAGCCTATATCTTATAGGCGCCGCAGTATCTAGTTTGCTTTAATTTGTCTTATAATGCACCCAAAATGAAAAATAAAATTAAGGGACTTAATATAATGTATTAAATTAATTGGAAATTTAATTTCCATAAATGGGAATTAATTGTCAAGTAATTTTTTTTTTTTTAATGTCAAACACTATCATCTTAATATTTGTAGTTTTCTTACAATACAATTAACAAAAAATATAAGAGATTATTTTAGAACTTCTAACTTATTTTATAAGCTTTGTTTGGTAAAATAGGGAGAAGTATTGATTTCATAATTATTTTTTATTTTCTTTTTTTATTAATTTACAAAAATAATGACATCTACACTTCATTAATCAAAATTCTAATATCTTAATTTATCTTTGTAAGATTTTTCTAATAATATATATTATATATTAGAGCCTTAATTAAGTGGTACAAGTTGACTATGCTTATTAAGTGGTCTGGTTAGACTGAATAACTAGAAGTTGTTGTTAGTTAACTAAACTCTTTACCTAATATAATCTTGGATTGACGGGATACAGGATGATTATGCTATAGCACATTCAGTTACGATACTCATACTGCTTAGTAGACACAAATACATCATCTAGGGTTCTGAGTCAGGTATGAGGATGATTATGCTATATTCAGTTACGGTACTCATATTGCTTAGTAGACACCAATACACCATCTAGGGTTCTGAGTCGTTATGAGGCAAAACATGGTTAACGGTCTACTGTTCCGAGGCAACACAACAAGAACATCAACTGTGGCTGGAGATCAACACGGTTATCGCTTCCGCTTATACAAGCTCGGGTTTCTCATATACTATTATTTAGTACAGTTAGATTATTTATATCTAACATTCTTTTTATATCCTTTTACACTATCATCTAATTTAACAATTAATTTTTACATCTTCCCAAATGCTCTGTCGGGCCGGGATGTGGAGGACCCTTAGGGTTGGGATTCAACCTTTTGGAAGAACAATTAATTTTATCAAACATTTTAATTACAATTAGTTTGTTTATTAGCTACTTGCATTTTAACTTTCAACTAGATTTTCACTAGACGTGCCAAAAAGAACTTATAAGAAATATAGAAATGTCACACTAATATAATACGGAGTATGAAATAATTTAGGTCTACGGGTCCTACAACCTCAACCTCGAGTTGCACTCTTCTTCCTTTGACGCGCGTAACCTGACGTACCCCAGCTTGTTATTTATGGACCTACATAATAAAAATATCTGATCTTATTCATAAATAAAAGTTGAACTCTATCTAATTATCTATTGACATAACGAAGGTGTGAATTAAAGAAAGAAAACTCAAAGTTGATTGGATAGCTCGCCTGTCTCATCATAAGAACTGACCCAACCCCCACAAAATAATAAATAAATTATCAATTTAACTATGTTTTTTGTCATTTTGTTTTCGTCTAGTAAGCTCGAATAAAACTTTAATGTCCAATAAAGTAAATAAAGATATTATTCACCAGGACTATGTGGTCTAATGGTATCCGGGTTGGACTTCTATTTGGAAGATTATGAGTTCAAGCCTCAATGGAGGCGTTATTGGTTCTTTGTGTTTCAGTAGGTTGAGAAAGTATATGAACAGATACTACAATGTAATAGAGCCAGTAACTTTCAAAAAAAAAAATAAAGATATTATTCATTTTCTTTTTTCTTTTTGATTTTATACTCATCAAACAAAAACCTATTATGATGAGATTAATTTTGAGACATGTACATCATAAGTTTTATTCAATTCGCATACCAATAATAATTGTAAATTGCATACTGATATATTTATTCTCATATAATTCTCTTTTCCATTTTTTTAAATATGTATATTGTAAGAATTCTAAAATTAACAATCTTTATAAATATGACACTCTCAATTTTAGGGTGCCCGATCTAAATTTAGTAATAAAATGAAATGTTATTTTCATTATTATACTTCTTTTAATTCATTTTACATGTCACCTTTAATTTATTACTCATTAGTTAAATAAATATAATTATTTTTTCTTTAGTATTTTCTTATCATTTTTTATATTTTGTATGTTTTTTTTGTATGTTTAATAGTACTTTAATTGTAATTTTTAAATATGTAACTTTTATATGTTAATATGGAGTACTAAATTTAATATAATAAAAAATTAAATTGTAAATTATATCAATCAAACATCATTAATCAAACAAACACAAAATAGGACAGATGTATTATAGTACTATATTTTGAGATTGAATTAAAATTGCGAGGATAAGAAAGAATTCCATGAATGATTCTTAACTATTGACATTTACTAATTTTTATTTTCAACTTTCAATTGGATCATAAATGGTTTATAGACTATTTACAAGTGTCAAGTTTCATCCTCGAATTTTAATTTGACCGTAAATGGTCGCTTGACTATTGATTTTGTTTCATATTTAGTCATCCAGTTAAATATCAATTTAGTAAACATTAAATTTAAGGATAATAATGTAAAATTTTGGTTCTGCACATTTCCACTAATGATGAAACCAATGTATTAAGTTTATGAACTCAATTTGCCATCTCAACAATAAGTCAATTTGTGCATACACTATTACCCTTAAATTTAATATTTACTAAATGAATATTTAACTGGGGGACTAAATTTAGAAAATAATTAATCAATAGTTAATAGATTATTTATGATCAAATTAAAACTCGAAGATGAAAATTGATAAAGGTCTCAATACTCAAAAGACCATTTATGATCCAATTAAAAATTGAGAATAAAAATTAATAGACGTCAATAGTCAATGAACTATTTTTCTGGAATTAGCTCGTAAAATAATGATAAATTTCAAGAGCAAATCAAGGAGGTAGATAGCCTAAAAGTCCAAAAAAAAAAAAAAAATTGTTAATACCTAGTGAACTACATAGATAATGACACGTTTCAAAAAAAAAAAAAAAAAAAAAAAAAAAAAAAAAAAAAAAACCAAAACAAAATGACACACTTAAAATAAAATAAATAAATAAACAAAAAAAACTTTTTATATAGAGTGGCAATGTGGCATATCTCCTATAGTGGGCTATAAATTGTATGTATCTTTTTTACATATTGCACTAATATTTAATCTTGTTAATTTAATTGAGTTTCGCCTAACCTCATTTAGAAAGAAATTAAATTAAATCTCTTCCTCAGGCCTCAGCCAGCTGCCCAGCCACGTGCATCTTTAAAATCACTTCAACAAATACGTTTGTCATGTTTATATAGGTGCAGAATATATATATATGACGAAAAGGAGGCATGCATGCACGCTTTATAGGTTTCTTAAATTTTAGACTCTATTCCACTTATTCATGTATTGTACTTTGGAATAACATATAGTCCAGTAACATTACCATATTTTGATGTGCATGCGCACATTTAAGAAAGCATCCTCGACTCCGCTGGATTATTGCAAATTGCAAATATAATAATAAACTTATTTTTGTGCGCATACTTTACAAATAGTGGTTTGTATTTATGTTATTCTCTTATTGTGTAATACAAATTATATAAATTGTATTAAGAAAATTACGAGTGTGTTAACAAGAATCAGACTCATGATCAGCTTTTGATATGAGAATTATTATCCACTTAATCGGTCATCTAAATTTTTGTTTTAAAGATGAGATCAAAGTTGGTGCATGGGAAATCAAACTGAATGGAGAAGGGCTCAGGGCATTGGTATAATGGATAAGAACTCTTACTTAATTAAGACTTGTTTTTAGCGGCAGGATAGGGTTTAAGTTCTACCACGAATATTAGGGGTTTGAGTTTGGATTTAGTTCATTGTGCGTAAAAGTATACAATTTAGTATATATTAAGTTTCAAAATTAGATTAACTCAATTTACCTCCTCATAAATTTTGACGACGAATTTATGAAGTTTAGATTATACTCCAACCAAAATGAATGGAGAAGCTAGTAGGTTAGAAGAGCAGCTAATGCAGTGTTTAGTTGGCATGAATTACAATTCATACACTTCTTCCCAAAGAATTCCAATTTAGTAGTAGATTGCAATGAAAAAATAAAGAAATTTATAAATTTGCCCTTAATTAATTATTACGAGATATTATATAAAATCATTTTAATCTTTATATCACATTTTTCTTCCATTCTCAAAATTTTATTACTTATCCCTACCAAAATACCAAACAATATAATTTAAATTCTTACCATATTCTCACTAAATTACATTTCATTTTCCACGTAATTCTTTCCTTCTAACCAAACACTTCTTTAAATGTTGAATGTTGACGGGAAGGAAGTGGTTGAAAATTGAAATTGGGATTCATTAAGATGTGAGAGGAGTGGAAGGGCTTAGTGTTACGTACAGCTACTCCACTAATTATTAATATAGCGATGATAAGACCGGAAGAGGCCAGCACAGAATATGCAAAACCACTACCATAACCCATCATTATTAAATTCAACCATTCCACACCTATAATCTGTTGACTACGCACCGGATTTTTTGAAAAAAAAAACCATGGATAATAATGCCATAATAGAAGCTGAAGTCCAGAATATCAAATCACATTTCAATCTGAACCTGCTAGGTAGACACCACTCCTTACAATCAGTCAAAAAAACAGACTTCCGAGCTAAGCTATAGACTGCTTAGTTCACAGATCGTCTAACATACCTAATGAAAATGTGATTACAATTACTTAATGTTACGCACCTAACTCGATCTTAATTGGAAGAAACTTGCATTATTCTTACATATTTTGATCAATTAAGACTTATCCGATCCGTTCATTTGAATGTTTGAAAAGAAATCGAATAGTAAAATAAAGAACTTTAGTAATATGTCTGTATAATTTCAATGTAATTAAAACACTATGATATGCATATTGCTAGCTATGTCGAGAAATTAATAGTAAAATTAAGAATAAAGATTGGTTGCATGCACGGGTTTAGTTCACTAATTCAGTAGGTAGTATTTAGGAGAAGAGAAGAATAAAGATTTGTCATTATTGGATAGATAAGTGCATGGAGCAAAGTGTGGTATTGTAAATGAATATTTTAGTACAAGATAAATCGTGTTTTTTTCATTACAATTACTTAACTATTTATACTAGATTGCCAACAAACACATGCGTTCTCCTTGTCCGCTTCGCCAGGGGTAGTTTTATTTGGGTATATTCAGGATTTTCACTGTCGGACACAGTGACTAATCCCTTTGCTGGATTGTAGGCACCGCCAGCAAAGATGGAGCCAAAGGGAGAGCAGGGGGGCAATTGCCCCCCCCACCCCCCCCCCACCCCATATATAACGTAACCTTTGTATGTATATATGTATATATAGTACAAGTTTTAGTATTAGTATAAAAAACAGATGAATGTTAACAAGAAGTGATTTAGATTAGTTGGCAAAGTATGTATTTGGTTATAATGAAGGTTATGAGTTCAAATTTTGGCATTAATACATTTTCACAGTTGCAACCCATGACCGTTGGTCTAGCTCATGTGCTCCATCTCAACTATAAGCTTATAGTTGGATTGCATATTAATGGTTAAATTGTATGCTCAACATATATAACATTCTTTTATATTAATAATGAGATGTGTAATTTATAATATATTTTTTATTCAAATTATTTTATCAAATTAATTATGCTTCATATGTTGTTATGAATATTTTTATAAACCTCCCAAATGAGTTTTATTTTTTTTTGGAAGAATGAATATTTTTATAAAGTTTCAATAAGTTTTATTTTTTTTTTTCTCATATCCAACAATATTTATATTTATATTTTTTAGATTTTTTTTTTCAAATTATCTCTTTTGTTTTAATGTTTTGCCTTCACTGAAAAAAATTTCTGGATCCGTCCCTACTTCTTCGCCCTCTTAACGGAATTCCTGACTTTGTCCCTGACCACCAGGATAGTTGGCATCAAGTCTCTCGACTCCTACCCAACTGCTATGGTTGACTCCAAACATGTAATGAAATCTTGAGTTGGCTCAAGAGTTAGCCATTAAATTGAATTATACCAGATGTACGTAAAATCTCCGATCAGCCAAATACCTTACTCGTCATGAAGCATTAAATGTTTGTCTTGTTACAAACTAATTAACCAAACAATATATAAGCCAAATTAATAAATATTTAAGGTGTGAAATTTAATGATTTATTTAAGAGAAGTTGACGGTTCTAGTCCATTAGTTATATCTAAATTGTAAAATCAGTTCATAAATTATTACTTTATATAACTTTTTACCTTTAATTATGTTGAAAGCGGCAATTTCAATCTATTACTAATAAATTTTGTTAACATTAACAATTTATTTTAATTTTTCAAATTACTAAAGAACAAATGGGTCATTTTGTAAAATTTTTCCAAGTATAAAAAAAGGCTTTTTCACATTGATGATTTCAATTGAATGTTAGGTTTTCTGTAATGTTGATCACTCAAGAATATGAGATGATGGGAAGTTGAGACCATGAAAACACAATTAGTTGATGCATCCACCACTTCTTTATCTTCATATCAGAACATATTAAACTAATAACATGCTAAACTTATAATTCAGTGTATCTTCAATCCTAAGTAATTTTTTGCTTGTTATTTTTGCTTCTCGTATTATTTATCAATTAGGATAAACAACAAGGCTAGTTTTTGCCCCGTGCATAATGCTCAATATCACATGGCCTCAATTTTAGAGGGCCCAATATCTATTTTTGACCTAGCTGCTTAAGAAATTAAAAAAAAAAAAAAATCTGCAATTAAATTCACATTCCTTCACTTCTCTTTTTATCTTGCCTAGTACTCATTAGTTTTTTCCCCAAATCACACACTACCATTGAAAATGGCAATATTCTTCATTCCTCCATTAATTTTACAAAATTTTCCCAAATTTCTTTGATTACCTACCAAAGTTGCAATTCAATATTCACTTCTCTCTCCTAATTAATTGAGCATGATTATGGCAATATCGTTCAAAATCTTTGAAATAATCTTTATATTGGAAAATAATATATAATTAAAAATCATATATTTTACGATATTGATTTTAAAAATTACCGCTTATACTTTTAGTAGGGCCTCATTTATTTACAAGAACGGGGCCACAAAAATCCAAAAGACGATCCTGATAAACAAGTATTTGCCAAGGGTTTCCCGTAAAAGTGTTGTATATAAGAAGAGTCATAGAGAAAATTTTAGAAAATTTTACAAAATAACCAATTTATCCTTTAATAGTTTGAAAATAATATTTTTTTAATATTAACAAAATCTGTAAGTAATGGACCAGGACTATGTGGTCTAATGGTACTCGGGTTGAACTTCCATTTGGAAGATTATGAGTTCGAGCCTCAGTGGAGGCGTTAATGGTTTTTTATGTTTCAGTAGGTTGAGAAAGTATATAAACAGATACTACAATGTAATAGAGCCAGCAACTTTCAAAAAAAGACTTCTCCAACATAGGAAGAAATTGCTATTAATTAACTACCATTCTGAGACTACATCCGAGGTAAGATATAAAGAGGTCTCCATCATCCAATTCAATTACTCAATGTATAACTTCCAACAAAAGAAAAACATGTACTAATACCATTTGAATTTAAAAAAAAAAAAAACAGAACAAAACAAAAATCAAATTATTGTAGAATAACATTATTACTGGTATTTGGTCGCACAGTTGACTTGTTTATCATAATATTTTAAGTTTGACTTTCTACGAGAGTTGTCTATTGACTTTTTTTATTTGAGTCGATCATCTATGAACAATCTAAATTGGTTTACCCTTTGTAATCTTTTATCTACAAATTTCACCATAAATCAGAATTTTGTATTATTTGATGTGATTAATGATGCTAATTGATTGATTGGACAAAAAATCATATCAAATAATGCAAAAGTGGGGGTGATGTATAAGTAAGTGTTGACTAAATTTGGCTAAAAATGTGAGGAGAGGGTAAGTAGTAAGTACAGCTAAGAAAGGAGGAGTGGGCCAAAAATGGGAAAGGAAACAAGTCTTGAGAGGAAAGCTGTGTGGAAACACCTCCACTTTAGATCATGTACTTAGAAGAAAAGGCAGGCCTGAGGCCTCCCCAAAACCCAGAAGGAAACAGACAAAACAACCAAAGTACAGATGAGATCAGAAAATGGTGAAAGATAAAGTTAAATGAGCTATGGGTTTTGAAAGCATTGTTTCATCATTTCGGATAAACCAACTCATCACACCTCATTCATTTCAATCTCAACCTGCCCATCTCTCTCTCTCTCTCCCTATCTGTGAACCACACAGCTGGAAAACAAGTGGCCAGGATTTAACCCTGCCCATACCCCCGCTGCACTTTATCATATTCTCAAACTCTCCGGATTGAACTTAATCCTTTTTATCCTATTCTTGAACTCTCGGGATTGAACTGCAATCCTTTTTCTGTATTCTTAAACTCTCGGGATTGAACTACAATCTTTTTTACTGTATTCTTGAACTCTCAGAATTAAACTGTAAGTCTGTAGTCCTTTTTACTCTATTCTTGAATTCTCGGAGTTGAACTGTAATCCATTTTACCCTATTCTTGAACTCTCGGGATTGAACTATAATTCTTTTTACCGTATTCTTGAACTCTCGAGATTATGGTGCAACTCAATAACCATCAATCAATCAAAGGAGAGTCGTGGAAGATCAGAGGGACAAAGCCATTATCTGATGTTGTTGACCCACTTGCCTCTGCAAGTCCAAATGGGCACCTATCATGCCTGCAAGCTGCACCACCACAGGGCTGACACTGCACCATCCTCTCTATTCTCACACTTCAAGGCAATTCCCATTCCTTATGGTCACTCTCTTTAACATTGACTAAACCTTAGCTTTTCACCACATTTCCCTTCCACCTTACAAACCAGAGGTTGGAATATAATGGCAGCATTTAACATACTATACCCTCCCAACCTTCAATCCCCATTCTTCACAAACTTCAAAGTTCAAACCCCCCCTTCACCATTATACCCAAAAACCCTAACTTTAATACTAAATTAAAACATATATTCTTAGTTATAAGTATAAGTTTGACTCCTAATATTTATTATCTTTATCGGCTAGGATCACAATGCAAGCACATCTTCAAATAGTAACTGCAAATTACCCTCGTATATAAACTCTAAACTAAAAATCTACCAGTTCGTTCCTAGTTCAATACTATATTATATTCGATCTCAAATTCAAATTTACTTAACTCTAATACTAAATTAAAGCATATATTCTGTCTAGAATAATATGAACTTTGACAATCAACTTTCACATTTATATTGCAAGATTGGTATTTTAGTGTTATACTATTTGTAGTAGAACACACAATAAATGTTTGGACAAACTGAATTATAATATAAGGAGCATCAAGGAAGCTAAAGCCATATTTGGATCGAATTACTAGCTTGGATAGCTTACAGTGCAAAGAACTATATTGGGTAGTGTGTGAGGCAATGAAGCATAGATATATGCATATATCGAAGATATTAATTTAAGTAGGACCAGCAAGAAACTAAATAATATAATATATATAGTAATAGAGGGAAAGTACAGAGAGATGATACAAACTAATTAATCAAAGGCGAATTGAAAACTACATTAAAATATGCGATAAAAGCAAAAATCTACGGAGTTTTCGCAGTACCATGAAAGAGTTGTGAACATGAAGAAAACATTCCATCTAGTAAGGTGGCGGTGGCTGTCTGGCGGTGGGAGCCCAAATCACATCAGGAGGCATATGGCAACTATTATACATCGAAATCCCGCACGAATCGGCGGCGCCGCTGTCGCCGCCGCCCGAGACGTCCGTGTGCGGCGGCGAGTGCTGTAGGTCGGGGCCGTCATTCCCGCCGCCCGAGCCCTTCCCGTCTTCCTCCGCCGCCGCCGGGAGTCTGTGATAGGAAGGGTTGGTGAAGGTGGCTGCGATTAAGTATACTGTCCCGGCGGAGAGTAAGGGTCCGGCGACGGCGCCGCCCACCACCTGGCCCTGCGGCCCGGCTAATGATATGGTGAAACCGTTGGCGATTCCGTTGGTCATGAGGATCGAACCCAGAGACGGAAAGGTGGCATTGGGGCCCACCAGGGTGGCTGAGATCGAGAGAATATCGAAGCGGCCGTGGAAAGTAACGGTGGCCCCGGGCGTCGTGGAGGGCTGTCGGAGCGTCACGTTCGAAACGGTGCCCGACCCGTTGAGTATACAGAGCCCCATATTTCGCTTCCGGCAGAACCGGGTGGTGGAGTCGATTATATCAACCCCGCCGGGGAGTTCAAGAATGTAAGGGCTCATGCCCGGCTCGGCGTCGCGGGTTATGACCACCGGCGGCCTCGGCTTATTCTTCGACCCCGGCGGCCGCCCGCGCGGGCGCCGAACCACTTCAATGGTGGCGCCGTCGTTGCCGGAGGAAGGCGTTCGCGCCCCCACCACCGCGGAGATTGGTTGCGGGGTGATGGGTTGCTTCCCTGTGGTGGATGGAGTGTTGGGGCTGCGACTGTCGGTATCCTCGGAAGTTTGGCATTCCCGGGCGGCGGCGGCGACCTGGAAGGGGTGGTGGAAGGTGGGCTGAGCTTGAGGCTGCGGCGGCGGGGGCGGAGGTTGGTGATAAGGGTGGTGGTGGTGGTGAAACTTCTGGGTTTGATGGAGCTTAGCAAACATAGTGTTGGAGTGATCTTTCATTTCTTCTACATATTCCCCTTTCATCATATAATAATCTTTATAAATTTATATAGACTATATAGTTTTAATATATCTTTCAACAAGCAACTCTTTCTCTCTCTATCTCTATCCCCCCACTCTCTCTCTCTCTACGGACCGTCTATGGATGATTGGGGTGTATGTCATTGAATTGTGTATAATATAATAAAATAAAGCCAACAAAGTTGAAAGGCTAGATAAGGAAAGAGATCAGATAAGGGGTTGTTTGCTTTTCGAGAATTGTAATAACAATCCCTTTTTTTCATATTTGGTAAATTTTATAGATAGATCCCTAAAACACAGAAATAATCCAATAATAAACAACTTCCATTTATGAAAAGTTTGAAGTTTTGACTCAGCATTAAATCAACTTTGTAATCCTAATTGGTAAGGATCACAATGAAATAAAACAGTTTAAGTTATTCAGTACGAAAGAACTATGTAATTTAAATGGTGAATTTGAGTGTGTTTTATATTTGGTAGGTGATCGATATGCAATTTTTCTTTGAGTGAATGTCATATGTGGTCTTCTGAGTATAGTGATTTTGTCACGTTTAGTTTAAACTTTCAAATTGACTATATGTAATCCTTCAACTTTCAAATTATTACCATTCATGGTACATGTTAATCACCCATGATCCTTCAACTTTCAAAATTTAATCAACTGTGGTCCTTCTGGAAAGACCATGGCGAGTTAAGATTTGATAGTTGAAGGACCATGAATGATCAACTTGGACCAAAACCAATCTAATCCGAATTTCTTGAGTTTTACACACAAATTATTTAAAAAAATTACATAACATTATTTAAAAAAAATTATATGAAAATGTCTAAATATAATTGTGACCAATCCTTTATATAATAAAACTATATGGTTTGGGAAATAATTAATATTACAATTAAGTCACAACATCCTTTATTATAAAAAAAAAAAAAAACACAACATTTAAAAAATAAAATGGCTATATATTATATAATCATATAAAAAATATACTTTTAAAAAATAAAATAGCTATATATTATATAATTATATAAAAAATGTGTTCAATTAGAGTTTAAATTTACACATACAAAATTTGAAATTTGCTTTCCAAATGTAATTATCTTAGTTATTATTTGTATTGTGAAAATTATAATATAGATGAAATACAATTAAGAATAAATCAATGTAATTATGTAAATTATCTCTATAAGTTTATTTGAATATGCACATAATTATAGATTATATTAACCATACAAAATTTTAATTTTAATTGTAATTTTGTATTCTATAAAAATAATAAATACTTAACCAATGGAAACTCAAAAATATTATTATATTAAATAATTTAAAATATTTTAATTTTTCTATTTTTTATTTATATTTATAATAACATAATTTTTTTCCGTGCATCGCGCGGGTGAATTACTAGTTAATACTTAAATCAAGAATATTGAATCATTTTTAGAGTTATATACTGTAATTGGATACCATTGTCACAAAACACAAAAGTTTGTGTTTTTTTCACCAAGTTTTGAATGTTTGGATATAATTGCTATAAGGCTTCAAGATTTGTTTAAAAAAAAAAAAAACAAACAATAAGCCTATTTTTAATTGCTATGTATAAATATATAAAATTTGAAACTCAATCACTCATAATCACATAATTACTAACTTCATTTGCCAAATACCTTATGGTTAAGCGGTATAATTGTAACTCTTCTAAATGGGATGTGGGGCATTACCTATTTGTGCTTTAATAGGTTGAGAAATATATTGTAACAGAGTTGATAATATTAAAAAAAAAAAAAAAAAAAAAAAAAGTCCAATTGGTGTGTTGACAATCCCTTAATTATTGCCCATTATGTATGTGATAACTATCTTTCAAATTGAATAAATGCGACCTTCCAATTGTAAAAACTTAAACCCTCATATTAAAAATCAAGCAAACACTATCTCATAGCTTTGTCCAGTTTTTAATAAAAATTAATCACGGTTTAAAGAATTGAGGAAGTACACTTGTCCAAATTGAAAGGCATAAACCACATTGCATAATTAGTAATAATAGTTGAGGGATTATAAGTAGATTCTATTCTTAACTTTGTATATATATGGAGTAATAAGTATACATGTTATATTATATTAGTGTAGTAAGGCACTGAGTACCATTAGCATTTTTTTTTTGAGAACCATTAGCATTAGTTTTGACAATATCGTGTACACTAAAATATAGTATACATAATTACCACGATTATCAACATCGGTGCTTATTGACATACAAAAATTCTCTATATGTATATAGAATGAAGTTTTTAAATGCTTTTACTACAATTTTTTTTTTTTTTTTTGTCAGAAAGTAATAAAATATGAAACATTGTTGTTATATGTGATTTTTTATTTTCAACCCAATTAACATGACCAAAATATTTTGTTTTTGTTTTTGTTATTTTTTTCATTTTTAAAATGGAATATGATAAGCCATTTGCAAAAGTTCATATATATACCTTATTATATTACAAAAGAAGAAAATGTGAATGATATTAAAGGAAAGATTATTTGTATAATTATTTTTTAAGCTCCTACCAAATATGAAACTTACTATTAACAATTTAGATTTTGTTTTAAGGGTTTTAACTTTTAATCCCTCCATTTTGCATATATGAATATAAAAGTGCATAGAAATAATGTTAAAATAGGCCATTGAAATGCAAGTGATAATGCAATTGGGTTATTGAATCTAAAACAAGTACAATTAGATCCATAAATTAATCAATTTTGTGTAATTCATCCAATTTGTTGATAAAATCTTCACTACCCAGTTACTAACTGCAATATAAATATATATATATATATATATATATATATATATATATATATATATATATTAAATGAATGTTTAAATTGAAATTGATTAATTTAAAGATTTAATTATACTTTTTTTTTTAAGTTTAAACTTTTTTTTTTAAATACTTATTGACTCTATTATAATGTAGTATCTATTCAAACATATTACAAGTCAAATAGTCAATGCTCCACACTGGAGTTTAAACGTAAGACATTTCATTTGAGAGTTCACCCGCTTAACTACAATACCTTTGGCTTAAGTTCAATAGACTAATTGCATTATTGCATACAATGTGATGACCTATTTAAGCAAGTGAATAAAATAGAAACATGGAATTTACCCTAAAAGAGATTAGATATAGGAGAGGGGAAATGTGGGTGGGGACAAGGGGGGTGGGGGTGGGGTATTGTATATGGAAATGTAGGGAGAATGAAGAAAGGATTTTGGAATTTTGCTTGAAAGGGGAAATGAATATGGGAGAAAGTGATGAATATTGCTTAAAGGGTAAATGAACATGGAGGAAAGAGAGAGCGGTGAGGTGGGTGAGCTTGGAAACCAAGTAAACACCATTGGCGCCGCTAGTTGAGTTGGGTGTTAAGTAGGCTCCACTTATATTGCATACATGATACATACATCCAGATAGAGATACGCCACGATTCATATATATGATGTGCTTCAAATATTATATTATATTATAATAATACCAAATCTTCCCAAGTTCATCGCCTCAATTGGGTGTGGTTCATTGTTTCAACTGTATTCTTACATTATACAAGTTCTATCATATCAACTTTAATTTTATATTATTCACGATTAAAGTTCAGAACTTATTTCATAACTCTGTATATTAAAAAACAAAATCAAAACAAACGATTTTTATAACATGCCATTCAAAAAAGTAAAGTAGGAAACGTCGTAGATACATAGACATAAAGTTATAGACCTATTTCGGCAACATTAATCTACCTCCTATTCATCTATTGACTAAAGCTAAAATTACAAATTGTTCTCCATATAACATTTTTTGAGTAACAATGAAAACTTGAAAACACTATTTAAGGGTACAAATTTTAGATCAAATGTTTGTACTCAAATTGACACTCTAAATCCATAATCCAACGTAACACTCATTAAGAACATTCACAGCCCTAATCGCTTTATATTTAAATAAATCAACTAAAAATTGAATACTATATATCGTCAAAGTTGTAATAAGCCTCATTCCTCCGGACAAAATTGAAGTGATTAATTGGTGTAGGCGATCACCGGCCTTGAGTTGTCCCACGAGAAAGAAAGAGGGATGGGGCGTGGGGCAAGGTTCCGACCGAGTGGATTGATAATGACTTCTTCATGTGTCCTTCTTTTTGTGTAATGGGGGGTGCTGCTTTTATTTTCTATCTTTCTTCCTAGCTCTTTCCCTCTCTCATCTATTACTATTACACTCTTCTTTTCTGTTATTTCTATCATGTTTGGTAAATGATTGTTAGCTAATTGAGTTAAAAGGCATAACTAAGAGTGTGTTTGGTTCGCACATAGGAATCGGAATTGGAATGGGTATCAAATATTTGGTAATGGTAATGGGTTTTGGTGAAAGTATTTAACATGTTTGGTAGTAGGGTGGAATGGGAATGGTTAGTAATAGTAGTGCTTGAGAATGAATAAGGGAATGATACCCTTATTTTATTTGGGTATGGGTTTTTTAATTGATAGGGTAGTCCAAACCCATAGTAGTGTTCTAAAAACCTATCAACCAAACAACGGCAATCACTTTCATACCCATTTCTATGGGCAAAACCCACCATAATTGATAACATTAGCTAATTGTAGAAAGGTGTTTGATAAATTAATTTTAACTGATGATTTTTTATTATAATTTTTTTTAAAAAAAATTAATTGAAAAAAAAATACTTTAAATATTTTTTTAAATTTTTAATAGTATTTTAAAGTTACAAAAATGTAATTAATCAAATACTTATATTAAATTTTTAATCATGTTAAACAATTAATAATTAAATTAAGTATTATATCAAACAGAACCTATGTGTTTACATACTCAGCCTACATCATTTCATATAAATCAACTCACCTTTCCCATCTTCCAGCCATGCATGTATGCCGCCACTACACTGTTAAATGTATGTACCACGCCGTAACACTTTTGCTTTATAAAATAATAATGATTTTCGCCCGAGATTTTAGGTTTACAATAAGTATTGTAATTTTATAAAATAATGATTTTCGCCTGAGATTTTAGGTTTACAATAAGTATTGTAATGATAGTAATTGTATATGAATTGGTCGATATAGTTATGTGTATTGAAATTTTACCAGTTTGAAAATTTACGCTTATAATAAATACTGTAAATAATAGTAATTATGTATTCCGTCTTTCAATTTTAGTCAGTAAAAGATTATAAAAAGATAAATTAATTTATATTGCACATAGCTAACTGATGCTCTCATATTATGATTTTAGTCCGTAAAAGATTATAAGATTGTAAATTAATTTATGTTGTATATAGTTGATTGGTTCAAACTAAGATATTTATTCTGGAATTGTGCTATGATATTTATCTTTTGACAGAGGTTGTCCCGGTACGCTGTATTTAAGTGGCAGCTCACTTCTTTTGACTATTTTCCATTTTCTCTTTGACTTTCAAAGCTTTCACTTCTTAATCTTGTGATCGACATGGAGGTGGGGGGTGATCCTGACATTGTAGCAGCAATCTCTGCTCTTATGACTATTGGAATTCAATTCAAGCTCAATCCTCTACGACATTCTAGAAGATAAGGAACCCTGGTAGACTGAAATACTTAGCTTGCTCACAAATTCAATAGTTTGGGAGTTTCAAAAATTTTTGGTGAGTGATATTTGAGGTAATAATACAAAAAATTATGATAAAATAAACGTAACAAATACGCACACATAATTTTTTGGGCAAGTAATATTATCTTGATAGGATATATTTAATACATTATGAGTAATAACCGCAATTATAATATCTTTGATTTAAGAAAAAATTTGTTATTGCTATCCATAGCTGCAATAGTGCCATTTAATTTTACTTATGAAGGAAGAGTTATTTTGGTCTTACAAGATTGATGACATTTTCAATATGAGCAATGTTACATATCTCTCATAAGTTTTTCTTCCAGACGTGACATTATCTGTTTAGATTTTTCATTACTAAGTAAAATCTTATGTTTTAAACTTGTGGTTTCATTATTTGATTATTAACTAGTGCTACACACCCTTCATAAATTTTCCATCCAATTTTTATTTCTTAGACATTATTTGATTAGCTTTTTCAGTATTTGATTACTAAGTAAATATATTTTTCAATTCATTCTTCCAAAGGCTGAACCCCAACCCTAAGGGCCCCCCACACCCCGACCCGAGAGAGCATTTGGGAGGATGTAAATCATGGTAACTCAACTGAACATGAACCACAGAGGCTAGACCTGTGCTCACTGCGCACAAGGAACCCCCTCACTTTGAGAGGTTGCTCCCACAATGTTGCTGGTGAGACTCGATCCCTGGTCAATATATTTTTCAATTCATGGTGGGGGTAAGAACATCTACATCAGTAGATAATAAGGGGATATTGCAGCATTAATTCACCCACGTCAAGTTTATAGCTGATGTAGGGGAGAATTAATTTGAGGAGAATTCATCTGCAAAATCAAAAATAATGTCAGAAAAGGAGAAAATGAAGAAACAAGCTGCTGTGCGCGTTCTGCGCACAGCAGCAGCCCACACGGGCGCACCTGAACCCTTTATTTATTTTTTATTTTTTTTATTTTCGTTTTTTAATTTTGGTTTTTTTTTTCCCTCCCCTTCCCACATTCTCTTTCCTAATCACTCTTACATTATCCCCCCATTCTCCCCAACCATTGTGGATGCTCTAAGCCCCACCTTGTGACAATAGAAAGAGTTTTATTGCTACATAACTTATGAGCAATCAAAATTCGCACTTTCTACTTGAGCATGTCATGTGAACGAATATTTTTGCCCATAAACTTTAATTGCAAACAAGCTAGCTAGCCATGTGACAAAGCTCAATGAAATTTCATTAGTTTCCTTGCCTAAAGAACCAAAACTGATTAAAACAAAGCGTGCACCTATAGCAGCAATTTTTATAGTCTCACATCATATCATCAATAGTAAAAAAATATTACGAAATTCATAGGATAAAAATAACACAGACAACAATCGGTGCATATATGTAATAATGTAATGCTGAATATTACATAAGTGAATCCAACTCACAAAGACCGAGTTAAAGCTTATGATGTACATTTGAATTTTGAGATGAATTTGAAGGGGTGGGGGGGAGGCCTACTTAGTTGAGGAATGGGAATTTAAAGGCAGCAATGATAATGGCTTACGCGTTACGTGTGGACTTTGTTGACAAAGAAAAGTCAGAACAGTGGAGGCGGGAGGAGGTTTCGGGTTGGTGTAGTTGTAGTTGTTAGTATTCAACCCCATGGGAATTGGGAAAAGTCAGGTATTGGATCTGCTTCTCTCTTGCCTTGTACTGGAGTTGTCAACATGTGATCGTTCTTGAGCCGTCTATTTCATGCTCATTCTCGGACTGCTTAATTCATTTTTCTTCCCATCCATAATTTGACAATTGAAATGATTGGATTCAATCATCTTTCTCCAATGATTTCAATACGAGTAATATAAATTCGATTCTCTCTAATTTGGTTTCAACACCAAGATTGAAGTGATGTAGGATAATAGGGACATAGGGTCCTATTGGTGAGCATAATATGTGCGGAGTATTAATGTGTAAGTCAAGCTCTAAACCAATCTAATTTTGGTTGATGCGTATAGCATTTGCTGCCTTAATTATTGTTACTATAACACTAATTCAAATTCAATCCAAATTGGTAAATTTATTTTAATCTTTATTTCAGACTGAAGTCAAACTATATCCTAAACTCTATAAATCCACCTCCAACATCATGACGATTCCAACCCAAATCCAAACCATTAATATTCATGGTAAGAATCAAACTCTTAACTCACCCCAGAGATAAATCTTAAGTAAGACTTTTTATCTATTAGACTAATGTCTTAAGGGTTAATAGTCTTATTAATGATTCATGTATCTATTTTGTGGATGTGTTATGTGCTGATGAGTTTTCATATCAATTAGAAGCGAATGTTGATTACTTTCTATCAAGGGAATTTAAACGAATCTTACTATAAATTTCAAGCATACCAAAACTATATAGTAAAAGCGGGACGAAAGAACAAAGTGGACGGCCCAAAATAGGAAAAAGGAATTATAGATTTTCCCAGAAGAGGACAAATTAGTAGGAATCCCACAACAATTCCCCCCTTGGCTTTGAGAGTTTTCACTGAAAAAGCAATGAATAAAAGTGAATTCCCCCTCGTGTTAATTGGCTTGGAGTTAATTCAGTGAAAAGTAGTTCAACTTCTTTGCTGTCCCATGGGTACGTAAGACACGCTTCCAACACCGTGAAAATAAACTTTAGTGGGTGGTTTACTGCACAGTTCTTACCACTACATTCGCATTAATGTCCTGATTCCAGATAAGGACAACCTACATTACTATGCCAATAGACATTGATTCATAAACCACCAAGAATTCTAGTGAAACACGCCCATCTATTCTAGTCTGCAGATAAGATGTGTTTGGTTCATCGATTTACAAGCCAGAAATGAAAATCAAAATCATAGTTATTGTTTGATTGATAACTTTTTAAAACACAACAATAAAATTTGATTACACATCCAATTAAAAACAAGTATCATTCCAGCTTATTAATAATCTCATTTTTTTTGTTTGGATTAGTGATTTTTTTTTTTTTTTCACATTGATGCTTTGGATGTCATTATATTAAGATAAATTGCCTTGATTTTTTGTTTTTATATTTTTAAAATTTTTATTTCCATTATAAGATTATACATAACTAAACACTTGGTAATCATTCTAATTTCACCTTACTAAACCCATTAACATTAGAAGTATTTGATTAATTCCGGTTCAGATTTCCATGTGTGAACCAAACACACCCATAGTTTAATTTACCTCCATGGCCTGTCTAGTTTATGTTTTTTTATGGCAGCCTTTACCATGGTTGTACAACAAAGTTATGCCTAAGGGCAACTTTCAGTTCAGACATTATTGTAGAACTAGTCCCCAATATAGCCAAGAAAATGGTTAGGAGAGACGTTCTTCAGGTAATGTGAGAAAGAAACTGCTCAGATGTCAGCATGCCTGGTACTAAGTTATACATATGCCAGCCAGGATAACAGAAGCTGAAAAGGAGATTAGGAGAATGAAGAAGGGGAAGCCAAAAGGATGGCCATCAGATCAGATCCGAGCAACATAAGAATTGGCTTGTGTCACGTATCTCACCCACCGATAGGGGTTGTGCGTTTTTGACTTCTTTGGGATTTGTAAATATTTCACCTGCATCAAACATCCATCCCATTGCTTAAAGCTGAGAGTTGAGAGTAAAACTACTTTTACCCAACATACTTGTATTTAAAAATGATGCGCGCTGTATAACTCTGGTTTAGAAGGATTTGCTTCTAAATCAACAGTAGAAAGTTTAAATTGTTTTTTTATCAAGATAAAATAGAGAACTAAATAGTAGAGAAGTCAGGTCCAGAAATAAATTCAATATGATGCCTTTTACCTGCAGTCTAGAAGGATTGTACATAGGTATGGTGAAGGTCATGCTGACAGGCCCAGCTTCTTTTGTGATATTTCCTGTATCAGCCAGCACTCATATATATCAAGGGAAAATGTTATGTGTACTCCCATTTTCTACTCTCAACTTTTACTCCCATACTCAAAACCTTGATGTAGACACTTGCATTGGGACCCACATAGAAAACATAGCCTATAGAGCCCGCCACATAAAGAGTAAAATTGAGGGAGTACATGTACTACAACTCTAAATCAAGATACTTGTAGAACAGGAATAAATATAAGAGCTCAAGGTAATAATGCACATAAAAATTTTTAACTCCTTACGCAGACCATGTGCCTCTTGTGAAAATGTTAGCTTTGCATGAAGTGTGCATTCAGACCCACCCACAATCTGTGATGTATTGGAGATATCAATCAGAAACATTATTTCATAAAGCCAGACTTGATTATTGTAGGTTATTAGGCACTGCAAAACATAAGAAAAGAGATAATACCTTCTTCAGATACCACTCCAGCCTCTTATTAGATTCTTTGAAATCAGTTGTTTGCCCAACCGCTGCAGGTTCCAACTCAAAACCAACCCTGAATTATTGACAGGGGCAAAAAAAGTGAGTTGACAACTACACAATGTACTCAAAGCTAACCCTGAATGATTTAGAACTTGTCTTGATAAATGAGAAAAAGTGACTAGCATTGTAATTACCTGGACGTATATGTTGGCACTGGCATCTGTACCGCAACTGTATTTGCTGTTATGCTTGAAGGAAACTCGGCTCGGATCTTCAAAATGACTTCCGCCTAGTATATAATTAATGTAAACAAACAAAAATAGCAGTGTGTTTAGATAAATATTGCACATGACTATCTTTATTTTTTTTAATAAAAAAAAAAAAGGCTCACGTTATAAGAGAAAGCCTGAATGAGACTCAAATTGTGCAAAAAAAAGTGCAATCACTTTGATCATTAACACAACTGCATCTTAACCCAGAAGGTAGCTGGCAAAATTCAAAATCTACAGATCCTTCTAGCCTCTTGAATATATATATCCTACCTTAAGCAACCCAGCTTCTTCAATCAATGCATTAATACGGAAAGGAGGTTTGAATTCCTGGGTTATACGGTAATTCATGACAGGAAATTCACCATCTGGTGGGACCTAATAAAAGATAGCAAAATCAAGCATTTGATGTCACAAGAAATTAATTTCCATGAAAAGGCCAAATTAAACAATCTCTTCCATCATCCTATTTCACTCACAAGAGTCAAGGTTCTGTCCATGTCAAAACTATCAAGATGTACCGATTCATGGAAATTGCAATCATCCAATATCACGGCACCAGCCCCAGAAGAACCACTGTAATCTTGTTCCAGGGAAAAATAAGAAAGACTGATTGAGAAATGAACTTAAATTTAGTATTGATGGCATAACTAGGAATTATGTACCGGAGCATAAATATGGTTGAAGGAAGAAAATAGGAAGCTCGCCAAAAAAAAAAAAAAAAAACAAAAAAAAAAAACAAACAAACAAACAGTAGAAGTAACAAAGTATTGTGGTGAATTAAATAGTTCAAGATAAGAGTACCATAAATTGACCCCCCTCCTCTGCCTATGCTCAGATTGTCATTAAGAGCTAATCTGACTTCTGGATTACCAGTTAGGTAACTCTTCATTTGAATAGTGCCATCAATTTCAGAAGTCAATATATATCCCTGTTATTTTTTTAGGGAAAAAAATGGATTAAAAGACACATCTTGAAGCAATGTATGTCGAAAGTAAATGCAGCAAGTCAATAAAACTACAAAACACAATGGAAAACTGGAAAAGGGTGCCAATCTAATTATTAAGCCACTAGCATAGCCGGTACATGGAAACAATTTGAAATTTTGAATTCAGGAGAAATAAAGGGTGCCACCAATCTAATGATTTTTCCCCTGAAAGTCAACATATCCACCAGTTATTACTTTTGCCTCCCACAATTTGTTTTCATAAAGGTTGAAAATATATTGTTCTACAGATAGGGTGTTATGGCATAAATGTCAAATTTAGATTGAAGTTTTTTGTCACATGAGCATTAGATAATCATTTACAGACATTTCCTACCTAATCCACCAAGTGCTCATACTGTGACTCATGATCGTTACCTTGGTTCCTTAATAAGAACAAGATTTGCTGCAACACATAAATTGCTACAGAATCTAAAACTGTTACTCACACTTGAGCTGAATGTAATGCTTATTTTCTCAATTACATCCACAAATATTTCCTCCCTCTTTCTACCACCTGGCTCATTCGCTACAACAGACTTAGTAATAGCTGTCCCTGGCATTCTTTTCGTCCCTTGCTGCCAATGTCAAGGTGAAAGAGCATCAAGGAGGGAGATGAATTACTAATACCAAAGTAAAATTGGTTCTAATCATGTTGTTAGTCAATCTAAAATACCATAAATATAGCAGAAGGACTGATTGGTGATAAATGTCCAGCATCAATAACAATTGGCTCATTAAATATATAGGATTTCAAGACCTCAGTGGATGTTGTTTGAACATAACCAAAATCCTGGAATAAATAAAACACAGATAGATTAAGTTTCCTTTTCAATCTTTAAAGAAATATTTTAAAAAATCATTAAAGCAGCTGAAACTCCAAAGCCTCAATCATCAATGCACAAAGACCAAAGGCTAAAGGTAAAAAAGAATCACAGATATCACTAAATATCCTGAACGTAATTGCCCAAAAAAACTCAGAACTGTTGGACAGATTGACACAAATATTTTCAAAAAAACAAAAACAAAACAAAACAAAAATGTACTATGATATAATATATCTACTGCAGTTTCAGCAATAAGTGGCAAAATGCTGTAGTTGAATGAAGGATAGGTGTCTTGCTTCTTAATTTTCATTACAGATCATGCCAATAAATTACTTACAATGACTTCATCAAGAAGCTCATACACCAGCACAAAATTTTTTCGCAGGGAGTCTTCATTGAGAATGCCAAGGTAATCTTTGGTGACACGTGCAATCCTTTGCAGAAGCTCCAACACTAGAGAAGGTGATAAATTGGTCCTTGTAGTTGCAACAAAAAGGAGGCCAACAACCTTCACATGGAAATAGTTCACACCATCGGCGTTCTATAGAGGAAAAATGAAAGCCAGCAGATTATATTTGTTGAAATTAAATAACTAGATAACACATAGAGGAGTTCATAGATCACTGCACCAATGCTTAAAGATTAGGTGTTACAACGATATAGGCTTAATCATATTTTAAAAACCATTTTTTCTATGAAATGCATAATGAAGACGGCATCACACTGGTAAAAAAAAAAAAAATACCTACAAATACAGGCGGTGCTTCCTCTTCACCGTCTTCTTTCCAGAACTTTACTTTGCGGAAGAAGATCTCAGCACTTCCTTTAGGTACATCACCTCGATCTGCAATTCAACAATAATTTAAGTAAAATCCTTAAAACCACACACATTCCAATAGTGGCTGAGTATAAGAATATACCTCAACTGTCTATAATTAAATTACTCTAGTTCATTCACAGTCTATAACTGAACTGAAAATGCAATGGCCGTGTAATTATTATTCTCATTTTTTCAAGTCATATCGCAATTCATATCAGCTAGCTCAGCTTGAGTTCAAATAACTTCAATTCCGTTCATAATTACGAAGTTTAGAGGAATATAATGGAGAAAATTAATCAGCAGCATATTTACGAGATTTGAAAACGAATTCCAATTTACAGAGCGCATTTGCAGACTACTAGACTAGCGTATATAAATTAATCATAATTACGTGCATATACAGAGAGTGAGAGAGCCCTCACAGTCACGGAAGACGATGCTGTCTCCCCTCTGAGAAAGAACGAAGAACTGAGAGATCATTACTCGTTGCTACTACGATTTCAGCTCTCAACTTCTGTGCTATCTGCTGCTAAATCCTACTTGCCTCGATTGAGCGGTTGCACTATCTAACAAAGTATATTTTGAAGAAATTCCAGAACTAACCTCTTTTAATTCATATTTTTCACTTGGAGACCCCAAACAAACAGTTGTTTTTTTTTTTTTTTTTTTTTTTTGGAACAACTTTGATAGTCGATGATGGTGAAATTCTAATAATTGATTGACCATTTTAAGTAAAAATTGCATAATAATAGTCGATGGACTAACTTTAGTAGTCAATGACTAAACTGGTGAAATCTTAATAGTACTATTTTAAGTAAAAGTTGCATAGTTAGGGACTAAATTAAAATTCTAATAGTGAGAGATTAAATTGGCATTAACTCTTGCTTTCAACTTTTCAATGAAGAGTCAACAACGCCCCCACTCTAAAGCTCGATCTCATGATCTCCTACATGGCAGACGTGACTATATGTCATTTAAACACAAGGTGCTTAGTTTATGGGCATATTATTAAATTTAATCAAGTGTTTCTTGTTAAGGTGCTAATATTGAAATTAACATTCACTGTAAGTCCAAACAAAGCTCTAAATTTTAAAATACTATACTAAGATATATATATATATATATATATAACACTACTGAAAAAATATTTTTTTTTTGATCGAGTATGATCTTTATAATGTAATTTAACTTTTTTGAGTAATTTTTAAATTACTATCATATAAAAGTAGGAGATTTCCCTCATCACAAAATATATATATTTATGAGGGATTGGACTTCTTGGCTTTACAAATCTTTGGGATTAAACAGTATTGAATAACAAACCATCCGGAAGTCCAGATCCATTACTAAGCGAACCACATATCTGGGCCGAATTGTTAGCATGCCCGTCTACTTTCGGGCCGGCCCATGTATCGGCCCGAAACCTACGGCACAACAACATTCCCAACGACCGGTTTTCCACAACGGCCTTAAGGGCACGTCTAAGCGACCCAAGATCCTTCTCCCCGACGCCACCGCCGCACCACCGAACCACCACGTCCACCTTGGTCCGCCCTCCCACCGTCGCCATCTCCGCCCTCACTACCCGCCCTTTAACCGACTGCACCGCCTCCGTCAAGTCCCGGTTCAGCCCCGGCCTATCCTCGCAACAAATCGTCGCTTTCACCGCCGACTCTCCTTCTCCATCGCAGGGAACCACCGCCACCTCATCATTCTCCCCCGGCAAAAATAACGGCGTTTCCCCCTCGCTCTGATGCTGTTCCAGCTGCTCCGCCACCTTCTGTCTAAGCTCCTTCAGCTCCTTAACGGCCTCCGTAAGCACCCTCGGTTTATCCTTCTGCAAACACAGCAACCATAAACATCATACATACATACATACATATAAACCCATGCACGTGCATGCAATGGTCAACATGCAAAAACAAAACCAAAAACATCAATTAACCCGACCAGTCAAATTGATCAAACTATTTACTTGGTAAACCATAATGCCAGTTAGCGAGCAACCTAAACTGAGTTACCTTCTTGTGTCTTTTTTATCAAAAACCAAAATTTATTCAAGATTTGAGTTTCCTCGGTGCATATTTCAGAATAGTAATTGTGGGTTTCTAGACTTAAAAAAAAAAAAAAAAACTACACGTACTTTAGTGAGATGGGGAAAGAGTTTCCTGAGGGTAGAAAGATGAGAATTGATTCTTTTCCTGCGTTCACTTTCAGCCTTGGCATGTCTGTTAGCCGCTTCTTTAGACTTTTTCTTGGCTAAATACCGACGTTGGTGATGAAGATGATAATCTACCTCGTTTTGTGTCTGCAGAGGAATAGAGTTCAGCATTTTCATGATGTTTTTTCTTTTTTTCCCACTGCACCCTATAATATGTTCAAAGAAACCTTTTAATGGAGAGAAGGGGGAGGGAGATACTGAGTATATTTATAAAGAGGGGGAAATAATGAAAGAAAATACTGGATGGGTATTAAATGGTTGATTTTGATGGAGTTAATGACAGAGAATAATAAGGAAAGAGGATGATGTTGAGGAGCAGCTTTAATGTTCTTTGTTAATGTGTTTTATGGGAAGACAATGAGGAAAGATCAGAGGATTGTATGTATGTATGTATGTATATATATGTCAGCAGAGAGAGAAAGGGAGAGAGAGAGAGAGAGAGGGGGAGCTTACAGAGATATATACTGGTGGAGTGTTGGGGAGATTGGAACAAGAACTGGATGAGAGCTGAGAGCCTTTTTACTACCGTTTGCATGGCGGGCGGGTTGGGTTTATTCAAAGTGTAAAATCATGGAATGAGACAGATTTTGCAGGTTGAAAAAGCCATTTCGAGATTAGGGAAAACAGGCTGTTACACATTTTTCCAAATACTTCTCTTTAATAATTTACTTTGATATCCGCCCAATAATTGCATACATGCTTCTGTATTCATATCATAGTTTTTGCTGATGTTCAAGGGACATGGGGTTACCTTAAATTAAAAATTTTCAATAGTGTTATGAGGGTTTTGTTTGGTAAAATAGTTAACTTATCACTTAATTTTGACTTATTTGATCACTATTAGCTATTTGACTTTATTAAAAAATTAATATTTGATTAATTAATTTTTTTTGTAATTATAAAATGTTAAAATTTAAAAAGTTGTTTAAAACAACTTTTTTTAATTAATTTTTTTGAGAAAAAGAAATTATATCAAAATAGCTATAATTTACTAAACACATTTCTATAATAAGCTATTAGCTAACAATCATTTACCAAACATGACCGATGTGTTATATATTACAAAATAAAAACTCAATTAGGTAATTAGTTTGATATGATCTAACTTTTGAAAATAGGGTATTTGACATATGGGTGAGATCCAATACATGAAAAATAATTAAATATTTCAAATAAATTGTTTTTTATCACTTGTTGAGATATGTTGTGGCCCCACATAATGTTTTTACATGGGTGAAAAATAAGTTACTCAAACAATTAGTTATATATACATTGGTTTTCAGTTTAATAAAATCTCAAACCTAATATATTATTAGACTACTAAATCATATATCCAAAGAGTTTATCTTAGGCACATTTCAATTAGTGGATGTGTGTTTCCCTATTCACCCAACCAAAAAAAAAAAAAAAAAAAAAAATTAATGATGGATGTCTGTTATGGATACTCATTATAACTTAGGTATTATTTTTAGTGTTTGTCGTTCCATTTTCCATATTCATGAATTGTTGATTCAAAGTGAGATATCACAGGTATTATTAAATATTGAAAAGTAAAATTTATTATATAGATAAGTAATTAACGGGTGATATTGTGATAAATTATGTTATTATAAAACGTGTCTCAGCTCTCTGATTGAAGCAAAATGAAAGATGGACACTGAACTGAAAAATCAACTCAAACATTCCATTTTACAGTCCATGCACAGGGGGATATATGTTAATGCTGGGCTGCCTTTGTAATCTGATTGTCATGTATGTGCCTCAAGAATGAGTGGATTCACAGCAGAAGTACATATATATGCAGAGGTGGGAAAACTCTGTTTAGCCTTATGAACTTTTGCTGTTTGTTGGTGCACTAGCATGCTGTAAGTTTGTACTATATATATATCTATTAGTCCTATTTCAAGAATCAAATATTTAATTTGGTATTAATGGTAAATAAAAAAAAAAAAAAGTACCACTCTCAAATAAAGTATCACAATTTCGCATTATTTTTAATTATTCTTCCAAAAGGTTGAACCCCAACCCTAAGGTTGAGCATTATTTTTAATTATGATACTACAATAATATGCAGATGAAGTCTTGTACGATACTGTTTCACGGTAAAACAACCATACGCTGTATTTATTATAATATGCATTGGGTTTACTTGATACGCAAATAATGAAATAAATCACTATTGTGTCATTTTGATTCAACCTATAGTTGCATTCATCAAGACTTCTGTATATAGAAGTTTCTTTGAGAGATGGTAAAGACTTCTGCATATAGATTAAAGTCCGCCTTGTGACTCCAAACAACAAATAAGCATAAGGAGAGTAACTAATTACTTAAGTTGAAACGCCTCCACAAAGGAGTCGAGAACTTCAAATCTTGTGGTTACTAAATCAACTGTCCGACAAATTTGTCTAGAATTGTTTGGCATATAGGAATCTCTTTGCTATATATATATATATATATATATATATATATATATATATATATATCTTTTATTACTATTATTATCTTTTAGCCGTGGTTACTTTTTCTTAAGTCATATTTATACTTTTAAAATTGTAACCTCTACAATTCTTATTTTGTAAGAGTGTTAGCTTGTTTTCTAGGGTACACGTAACATTTTGTGTTGTTAATATATTTATCTTTATGATCCAAAAAAAAAGAGTTAATTCATTATTGTTGTAGACATATAAAATAAAGGGATTTGAATCTAATTATTTTAAATGATTTTCTAAAGTTTTCCTTATATATATATATCTACATGGGAATGATCAAACATTCAAACAACCCATCGATGCCCAAATAATTGACACAACATTACAACAACACCCAAAAGACTTGTGGTGGGGTGGGGCCCAATCTCACTGTAACAAGCCTTTGACAGGACAACTGTGGACAATAGCACCAGATAGGATCAGAACAGCTTCAGCTCATCAGCTAAGAATTAGCTTCATACAGAGGACAAAAAAGAATTAATGGTGGATATGCAGACACCAATATGTATGCTTATAGTGAAGTTGGCAAGCCATTTAGTATTTACCAATACAAAAAATGTTCTTTTTTTACAAAAAATTATTCACTATATCACAAAGTTACAAGTTCAACTCCCTTGTCTCCCTAATTTGACCCCGTCAGCTATGAGTAACATAAACTAGTTTATCTTCTGGATTGGCGTGAGTGATCGTGCATTCTCGTCCCTTAAGATATATCAAGAGTTCGAACCCCCTCTCGTATGGATCTGTCCAGCATTTTGCCCTTTAATTGTGTCAGCCCGGTACGAACAAGGATTAGTCTGAGACTCTGAGTATGGTACGGGCTTAAAATGCTTTATACAATTAGGGCTTGCTCAAGACGCCCGTGGTCTGACAAAAAAAAACTATTAGTTTTACCTTCTTGTGGTATTTACCTAATACACATTCAGATAGTGACGGTGTGTTTTCATTGTCATTAAAAAAAAAAAAATATTCTAACCTATACCTATGGATTATTCATGAATTCAATACTTAATCTTTTTCAGCACAAAAAATTAATTTTTTCACTATCGGGGTCCGATGTGTCATTACAAATCTACTTAATACATCAAATATTTAGGAAAAAGCCTACAATAATCATTCAAAAGTACATGATTCAAATTTAAAATTTTATAGTTATCAAGTTAGTTGTTGGACAAACTCGATGGATATATCAAAATCCCTGTCTTACCAAAGAAGGTGCACCAGTATTATGGTGCATCAGAGGAGCAGGTTATATTTTTTTACCCAAATTTCCCACCAGGAAATCTCAGACAGCCTCAACACTGCACATATATTCCCATCTCCATTTGTCTCTGCTCCCAGACAGGGCCCCACCATTGATGTTAACCACACAAAAGGGTGTTGTTTCAGCAATTTGAATGTAACCATGTGGGAACACTCCTCTGAATCTCTGATCTTTGCTTCCCTTTTGTGTTCATAATCTTGTAAGTTTCTCATGAAAAATGTTGAACTTGGCTTAATGTTAGGTAAGAAAATTCCAGTTTTCATTACTCAGAAAGATATCAGCAGCATCTGTTACTTCCACAACTTTGATGGGGAAATTTTCATTCTAACCTGCAGGCATCTTACAGGACGATATATGCACAAATTGCTTAAAGATGTTTCAAGCTCAATGTCTGGACTCGGTTCCCAAAGTGTTTGTATTCTGATGCCCGTAACTAGATAAATTCATACAACTCGTAGAGTATAAACCCGCATGTGGCTATTAGAGAAGTAAGTTATTGTACCCCGAGGGCTTTTAGACCATTTTATAAAAGGTTTTCACCCCAAACTTGAGTTAGTGGTCTCAAGTTCTTTAAAGTGTTTGTATATTGATGCCCATAACTAGACAAATCCATACCACTCCCTCAATATGGTTTGAACCAGCACATTGTGACTACCATGAAACAACCTATCATCATTACTTTGGATTATATTTGTCAACTTACTAAGTTGCTCCCTGAGGGCTTTTGGGTCATTTTATAAAGGTCTCCACCCCCAAGCTCTAGCCATGGTGTCAAGTTTCTCAAAGTGTTTGTATAGCCTCGAGTACAATTTGAACTTGCACATTGCGACTACCAGCCAAGCAGACTATCATTACTTTAGATTTGCCAACCTACTAATATGTGCCTTGAGCGCTTTCAGGCCATTTTATAAAGGTTTTCACTCCAAACTCAAGCACTAGTCTCAAGTTCTCTAAACTGTTTCTATACACTAAAATTCACGCTTTGTAACTTTGGGATGTTTCTATACCAGTGTTCACAACCAACATGGTTGGCGTGGTGGTTTAGCACCTCGTCCCTTAAGCATGAGGCACCCATGTGAATGGGGCAAATCATTTGGCCAGTCCCCTACCACTTAGTGTGCTGATAGTAAGGACACAAGATTAGTCTTCTTACTGACAAGTTGTCAACCTACCAAATTGTGCACTTCCACAAACTAAACTAGGCTCTTAACATCAATTGTAGATACTCAAAATCAGACCTCATCACAAAACATTGATTTAGTAGATAAGAAAACTCGCTGAGTTTAAATACTATTCCACAATTTTTCATAGAATCAACATAAAAGCGATAACACAAATGCTATTTTATTGGGCATGAGCAAAAGTGAAGGGGTTTGAGACCGGGAGCTTTGATGTACCATGAAGTGGGTATGTCATGTCAAGGCAGTGTAGTGTACATTGGAGAATTATAGTGAATAGTACAAACCATAAAAGACTAAACCACCTCTGTTTCCAAGCCATGTGCATAGTGTTACAATGTGTGCTATCTTCTCTGCCAAGAATACGAACTATTCCACATTTTTCATTTCCTTTTTCACCTTCTTCCTTTTGGATGAGTTTGAACTCCAATA